TTTCAGATCACAGGCGTAGGATGAGGTAGCTGTGGTGTGGTACACGCCCTGGGACATGTGAGGGAGCCAGCCTGGGGAAGGGAAGCTGAGGGGAAGCAGTGGCTAAATCCACTCACAAGGATGGGGTGACCCCACATGTGGACTGTAGACGTGGCCTTTGGGGACGGGAAGAGCAAGTGCATTCTCGGTGGCCTTTGCTTGTGCCTGGGGCTCAGAGAGGAAAAGGACCAAGATGCCCAGCTTCTCAGCTGCTGCTGGGGCCTCTGGGGGCAGTGGCATGTGTGGCTGTAGGAGAGGCGGGAGTGGCTGCACTCATGCCACACCCCACAGGACACACAGCTAACTGCCACTCCTCCGCCACAGACTGCGTGTTTCCGTGAAGAGCGTGATGTGCTGGTGAATGGCGACTGCCAGTGGATCACGGCGCTGCACTACGCGTTCCAGGATGAGAACCACCTGGTAGGTCTGTCCCACTCCCACAGCCTGTCCTCCTTTGTGCTGCCTTTAGGACATGCGCATCTGCCTAGACAAAGCAGGGGCTTGTGATGTCAGAATCAGCAGTAGGGTTTGACAGCCACGGACGCAGAAGTCTGCGGGAAAGTCTGTACATCTCGTCTAGTCACTAGGTTACGGATCACTCCGTTCTCCAGCTGTATCATTTAAGTAGCCTGGAGCTTTGAAACATCTGACGTGACTCAGGTGAGAGGACAGGAAACCGCTGTAGTGCTCCAGCCCCAGGGGCCAAGGGCTGCTTCTCTGCCTGCCTCCCGGCCACCTGTTGAGGGTGCCCTTGGGGGCTGTGTTGCAGTGTTTTTGGTGCCTCTGGTCACCTGCTTGTTCTTCACTTGCGTGGTGAGTGAGCGCCGTGGTCCACACGTGTGTGGAGCTGAGCATGGACACTGGGCAGCCACCTTAGGAGTGCAGGGAGAGTAGGCTGTGGCTTTGAACCCCAGGTGGCCCGCAGGAAGCCCACTCAGAACTTCCTCCCTGGAAGGACATTCTGGGTCTCCTAACCTCAAAGCGCCTTTGGCGCGGGGTGGGCTGGGGTTGGGGTGTACCCAGGCCCCAGGCCACAGGAAGACTGGGGAAGCAGGTCTCTGTTTCAGGTCCTCTGCTGGGTGTGGTTCTACAGCTGTGGCAGGTAGGGTGTAACAGCCATGGTCATTGCAGCTTCCAAGTGGGGGCCTGAGACCCTTCTGTGCTTCATGTTTGAGGTACTAGGGATTGAACCCATGGTCTTTGCACTGAGCTACAGTTTCCAGCTGCTTTTATTCTGAGACAGGGTCTCACTAAGTCTTGGAAGTTTCCTAGGCTGGGCTTGAATTTATGATCTTCCTGTCTCAGCTTTCCAGAGTGCTGAGATTACAGGTGTGCACCACCACACCCAGCTCTTTTTTTCCCACAGTGGCCGATTTAACCTTTTCATCGCGAAGCTCCTTGGTCATGTGTTCCATTTGTTCATAAAAAAGAAAATATGCTGGGCGTGGTGGCGCACCTAGTCCTAGCACTTGGGAGGCTGAGGCAGGAGGATCGTTGTGAGTTCAAAATCAGCCTGGGCTGCAAAGTGACTTCTAGGGCAACCTGAACTGCATAGTGAGAGCCTGTCTCAAAAATACCAAAAAAAAAAAAAAGAAAAGAAAAGATTGTAGGCTTTCTTTTATTCATTTTAGAATAATCTCTTAAATATCAAAAACTTACCGGCACATGTCTATAATCCTAGCTCCTCTTGAGGCTGAGCTCGAGTTCAAGACCAGCATGCCCAACATAGTAAGACCCCATCTCAAAAACCAACATAACAAAACCCTTGCATTTGAACATACATGTTTGGTAAAACGTGTGTTAATGTTATTTATGTAGAATTCAGGGTGTACAGCCGGTTCCGACAGAGGGACAGCTGGTGTCTGTTGGGCACCTGCAGCACATCAGGCCCGTGGTGACCTTCCGCAGTCTTCCCGGTGAGCCTGTGAGGCTCTTGGGCTTTTCATTGTTTATAAATGGGGTGTCTGGGGTACAGGCGCAGCCACATGCCCATGGTCCTCATACAGATGGCAGCCACTGTGCCAGGGCCCCTGCCTGAGCCTGCCTGGCAGGTAGCAGATGACCTGGGGCTGTGTCCATGGAACCCTTACCTTCCTGGGTCAGGAAGTACCCTGAGGACTCGGTTGCCTCTCCAGCTTGTTTCCTTTTTCAGTAAGAACTGAATGGATTTCCAGGGAGCACTGGACAGCACAGATCTGTACAGAGGAAGATGCACTTTTGTTTTATTTCAAGTATTTTTCCAGAATCTGCATAGTGTGCTGCTGGGTAGTGTTAAGCAGGCATTAGCCTGTGTATTCTGAGCTGACACACCAATTAGGAATCTCAGAGAAGGTGTCCTTCGCTTGAGTTTTTGGAATGGCCTAGTGAAAAGAATGATGAAAGTGGAGGATGGGAGGAAGAAGCCAAAGGCATGGCAGTTTTCCAGTATGTGGCTAAGAGTCCTGATAGGGGAGCAGCAGACCTGCTCCCTGCAGATAGGTGTGTGCAGGGAGTTCCCCGCTGTGTTGTTCAGGGTGGACCGAGGCCTGCGTGCAAGTGCAGCTAGTGTCTGTGACCCCTGTGACCTGGAGGATTGGATTCCTCTGACCACCATGAGCCTGGCCGTGCTGTTGTCTCTGTAATGGGCATCTAACTTGGAGTCTCACAAAAGTTAAACCTGCTTCACCACTAACTAAAAGTGTGTTGCCTTGTTGACTTAACTCAGCATCTTACATTACATGAGAGGAAGTCATTGCTTTAGTTCTTACTCCAAGAAAACATTTTACTTGTTTGCCCTACATGTACTTAATGTACATGTCTTGTAAGTTTCTTCTGCAGGAGACAGACAGATACGCTGCACAGTATGCTTTTTGTTTATCTTTGTCAGTTTCTACGTTGGCACGGGAAACATCGGGCTCAGTTTGGTGTAGCCCTTGGTGCGTGCCTGCTGCTCTCTGGGCTGGAGACAGCAGGTGCGGGGACACAGGGGAAGGGACCCCGCACCTGCTGTCCTCCCCTTCTGCAGAGCCGTGCAATGTCTGCCCACTGTCCTCACTGCCCACCACCCCTCCGCACAGCACCCTGCCCTGCCTGGACTGTGTCACAGCCTTCCCAGTCCCTGTCAGCTGATGGAGCAGAGCCTGGTCTCATCTGTCCCTGCACACCAGGCTGCAGCTGCTTGGTGTTCTCTCTGCCCGTCTGGAGCACAGCCACCCCTCAGGCCTCTGCTGGACTTCCCACCCCGACCCCACTCCCCACCCCAGGGTCAGCATTCGGGAGCCCTTGGATACACTGCCAGCCAGCAAGGCCTGTCTCTGGCCCCTTCTGCTGCTGCTGCTGTCTGTGATCCACCTCCCTGCACTAATGTGAGCTCTGCTAGTGAAGAACATGCCTTCTGCCACGCATCCAGACCCTGGCTCCCAGGGGTGCCCACAGGCTCACTGCTGCGAGCGAGCAAGGGAGCTGAGTCAGCAAACACCCAGGAGAGGCTGTGTGCGGAAGGAGTAGGGTAAGGCGTAGGAGACAGGAGAGCAGTCACCAGGACACCACCCTGGGGTTTCCATTGCCCTTCACAGTGGGGAGGACACAGGCAGAGGGGGCAGTGGAGGGTGTCTCGAAGGCAGGACATGCGGCTGCTGGTTGAAGATGCAGGCTCCTCTGGTTCCTTGGACCCAGACAGCAGCATGGTGGGAGGTTTCCTGCCTGGGGCAGGACCCATGCATTGCTGAGGCCAAGTCTAGCTGTGTTATTGATTAGCGGGGTGGCATTGGCTGATCCCCGAAGCTCCCCTATAAAATGAGATCTTGACTGTACCTTGGGGAGGGCTGGTGTGAGGACTGACAGGAGCCATAGGCCCATGACAGGCACCATGAAGGTCACACAGTGGGCAGTAGCTGTGGCTGCTCATAGGTCCTTGATACATTCATTCATTCATTTATTCATTCATTTATTTAGAGACAGGGTCTATCTGTGTAGTTCAGGCTGGCTTTGAACTCATGTGTAGCCCAGATTGGCCTTGAACTGTGCAATGTTCTCCTGCCTTAGCTTCTAGAGTGCTAGAATTACAGGTGTGTGCTACCACACCCAACTCCTCCTTGATACCTTTTAAAGGATCAGCTTAGTAAACCAAGGAGTGATACTTCCTTCCTGTATTAAAGAGTTAGGGGTCTGGACCAGAGTATTTGTGTTTTCAGAGGAAATTAGTATTGGGACTGGTGCTTCCCCAGTGTCCCCAGGTATGTCTGAGGTGGAGTGGTCCCCAGCAGTGCAGGGTCATCTGCCACACTGCCACAGGCTGTGGTGGTCTGTCCCATCCCGGGCCTCTGGCCAGTAAGATGCCTGCATTGGGGGCCTCTTCAGCACCAGGGCCTCAGTAGCCTGAGCTGCCGTCCTCAGACAGAAGGTCTGCATGGGCCCGGTTCCGGGTCTCCAGCACCTGGTGCACAGTGGGCCTGGTGGCCATCTGCCAATGAGAAGACAGCTCTTGTCTTGCTCTGGTTTTTGCGGGAACCAGGGCTTTTCTGGATGGTTTGTAGAGTGAGGCATAAATATGCCCCCTCTGCTCTCTGATGATACCATCTTTCCCCCGGAGCTGTTGGTGCCCTGTGTAGTTATAGACACCCACCTCCCTTCCTGGTCCACTACCTGTCTGTGTCACAGGTCCTGGCAGGCCAAACCCATGGGACTTGGTAGACAGTGAATCTTGCTATTTGAGTCACCAGCTTTTGGAGGGCTCTCTCCAACTGCAGTCCTTCAGTTGTTTGTTTAATGATTAAATAGAGTCTTTATTTTTTTTTATTTTTCGTCTTTTTTTGAGACAGGGTCTCACTGTGCAGTTCAGGCTGGCCTTGAGCTCACTTTGTAGCCCAGGCTGGTCTCAAACTTGCAACTATCCTCCTGCCTCAGCCTCCCTAGTGCTGGGATTACAGGCATGTGCCACCACAGCTGGCTAAATAGAGTTTTTATTAGTTTGTTCTCTGTCACATGTGTCATGTAAGTTGCAGCAGCATTGTTGTAGCCTGCCCAGAAGGGAAATGCTGGGTGGCCATGTCCAGCCCTGGAGAGTCAAAGGGCTCCCAAGGGAAGCTTGGCCTTTACTTGTTGAGTTCAGTGGTAACTGAGTGTTGTACTATCTCCTTCATGTCCCGGTCTACAGTACTTGGTCATGGATTACTACGTGGGTGGTGATTTGCTGACCCTGCTCAGTAAATTTGAAGACAAGCTTCCAGAAGACATGGCGAGGTTCTACATTGGTGAGATGGTGTTGGCCATTGACTCCATCCACCAGCTTCACTATGTGCACAGGTAACCGCCCCTTGAGTATTTTGTAGACAGCACACAGAGTATTCCTTTGGGCATTTCCTCCGTTTCAGGCCCCAAGGAGGCCTCTGCAGTTGAGTCCCTCCCGTGAGCAAGCAAGTGCAGGATGGTTTTCCCCCAGCACACCTGGCATCCACGCATTTTTGGTTCTGCCACTACTGTGATGGCCTCGCCCCTGTCAGCATCTGCTTGGCAGTGCTCTTCCTGCGGTCCGCACTGGCCAAGAGGGGCAGTGGTGTGTCACCCCACGAAGCCCTTACAAAGCAGGGGGACTGGTTTGAAGAAGGGTGTTGCTGTCACAGCAGCGAGGCGGACACGCTGTTGGTGTGATGAGATCTTGCACAGTGCTTTTCTGTTGTCCTCTGTATTCTTTAATGTATAGTAGTTCTGCTTCTCTAAGTCATTATAGTTGCCAGCATTTATATTTCTGTTTCTTATTCTTGACAGAACTTTGCCTAATTCACAATACAGAAGTGAGCTCTTACCACAGGTCTCTAAGGAAATTAATTTAACTACCTTTTTAATGGTAGTTACCTGTCTGGTCCTGTTTGCCCCTAGTTAGAAAGCCTTCCTCTCATTTCTGATCAACTGCAGAGTAGCTTCTCTCTTTTGACCTCCAGGCACAGCTGACAAAAATATGGGTTGTTTTTTGTGGGTTTTTTTTTTTCAGACAGGTTCTCGCTACGTAGTTCAGGCTGGTCTTCAACTCACTATGTAGTTCAGGATGGCCTCAAACTTGCAGTGACCCTCCTGCCTCAGCCTGAGTGGTGGGATTACAGGTGTGCGCCACTACGCCTCGCTTTGACATGGAAATATGTAATCCAAAAACTTTTTTCCCCTAAGACTGCTTATTCAGTTTCAGTGCTTGGATGACCCTAGTCCTTTTTCTTTTTTTTGTTTGTGTTAAGTTTGGAGTTTATTTGTAGTGGTATCGTGGTTTATGAACTTAATGTGTTATGATTTTGGAGAAGATAGCTGTGTTTGTGTGGGAAGATGGCTGTGGTTGCATTTGTTATGCGATGCAGGGTTTGCAACCAAGCAAAATATTGCCAGTTGCTTGGCTTACGAGCTGAGTTCCTTGAAAAGAGACACATTTGTGAACTGAAGTATTAGTGTATATTTTTTGCAGTCAAAAGTTATACACCTTTTATTTATAGTTAATACTTTTCGGATTTCATTTAAGAAATCCTTCCTAAACTCAAAATCTAACAGGTATCTTCTATATTTCTACTAAGAGACTCCTTAGCATTTTTCCATTTAAAATAATCAGATGTAGGGAACAAACTTTTTATTTTGTGAAAAAATAAAACAAATTTTCATAACCAAATAAAAGACATAGTTATTACAGTGTGTATTGTTATCTTCAAAGTAGTTAGTCAGTATAAGACATAAACCAAAAAGAGTCTTACAAAAAAGAAGCAAATAGGTAGTATCCCAGACTTTCTTCCCACTGAACTGAGATGAGCCATGCCGAGCTCAGAGTGGAGCAGTCATGCTTGGAAGGAGGCCTTGTGGCTGGTGCGGTGGCTGTGTGTGAAGCTGAGCTGCACTGGGCGGGGTCACATGCTGAGTTTCTTGGGTTCACGAGTGATGCCACTGACTGGCACAGCCATAGCCGGGGCCCTTTTTTGGGGTCAGCGGAGGGCCAGGCCTGCCACCCACCAGCTGCTGTGGCAGCCTGGCCTGTAGGAGCTCCTGAGCTAGGAGGCGGTGGGAGCTAGGGCCCAGGACCCAGTGTGTGTGTCAGTGCCCCCCGGAGCTCAGCCCTGGGTACAGGAAAGGTGGAGGCTGGGGGGCAGAATCATAGAGGATGATAGCAAGAACATTGCGCTGCAGAGAGGGCAGAGAATGGAATAAGAACAAGCAGAATTAGTAATGGGATTTCAGAGAACGGAAAGGGTCTTGACTCTGGGAATATACAAAGTTCTGTAGAAGGTGAAGAGCAGGAATCTAACAAAGATAACCCAGAGAGGAAGCTCAGGAAGTCAGGGTGATCCTGGAGCCTGCCCAGTGGTGGCTTCTGCTCCAGAGTCTGCCCTAGGAAGTGCCCTGAGGAAGCCCCACTAGGAACGCGTTTGGCAGATTGCTCAGGGCAGTGGGGCAGCCTCCTTTCCAACACATCAGAGCAAGTCCTGGAATGGCAGTGCCCTGCAGATATGGAGGGAGGAACTACTGTATAAAGTATATTTATATAAAAATATTTTCACAAGCCGGGTGTGGTAGCTCATGCCTTTAATCCCAGCACTCTGGTGGCTGAGGCAGGAGGATTTTTGCAGGTTCGAGGCCAGCCTGGGCTAGAGTGTGAGTTCAAGGCCAGCCTGAACTGTATAGTGAGACCCTATCTCAAAAAGATAAAAAAAAATTCTACATTTCATATAAAAAAATTTTATATGAAAATATTATAATGTCTTCTCCTTTTGTAATAGCACACTTCCCAGGTTGGCTGGGAGGCTGTTTCCTCCTGATATACTGAGATTGCACATTTCTGGCTGGCATGTATGTATATGAATATAACAAATCCTCCTGGGGATCACACCACGAGGCAGACACTCCCATCAGCCCTACAGTGCCGATGAGTCAGGTCACCCAGTTATGATTTTGTTTGACTTGTTTCCTGCTGTGTATAGTTAGTACTTTTTTCCCTGTGGGCAGATACTTTAAGACTAAGCCAGTATCTTCCTCTTCCTGAGAATCTCCTGCTCATGTCAGGTGTCTGCCAGCAAGCTCCATGGGGCTGTCTGCTGGGCGGGCTCCCGAGTGCTGCTCTCTCACTGCAGGGTGGCCACACCAGCCCATCACCCTGAACCTGCTGGTGTTAGGAAGCGCCTCCCTAACCTTCGTGTTTGACTCTGCACTATCCGTGTGAATACAGGGAGCTTTTTTCCTCCTAGTGCTTTATGATTTGTCATTGTCTTGACTGGTTATTGTGCCCAGATTGACCTGTATTGGGCAGCAGAACCCGCCTGTTTGTGACTTGCCCTCCCTGGGTTTTGCATGAGGATGACCTCAGATTCTGGCTCATCTGGTACGTCTATGCTGTAGCTCAGTCATTTCTTTTTGGTGCTCTGATCCTTTAGCCGGGCATGGTTTGAATGGCCAAGGCCTAGGTGCTAGGTGTGCTCCTTGCAGCAGGGGTGCCTACTGCTTAGCCGTTGGAGCACAGAGGCATGAACGCAGGTGTTGCACATAATGTTGCACATACATGTCTACATGCACCTCATCATGGTGGGCAGTGGAAGTTCATTTCCAGGCTCTTCCAGTTCCACATTTTGGGTCTCCTCCTGCTAGAGACTCGCTCCTTGCAACGAGCTCAGCGATTCATCCACTCTGACCTGTGGTGTGGAGCAGCTCTGAATTGCCTTGCCCCAGCACTGCCCTAAACAGACCCTCCCACCCTGGGCCCACTCACCACCTGCACCTCCATGAAATTTATGCTCAAAAGTCCCGTGGACCTGTGATGTGTTGATGTTTCCTGGGCTGTGTCCTTTCAGTGTAGTGCTGAAGTTCTGTTGCGCTCGCTGGTGTCAGCAGCTTCTGCTTGAGGCTCTGTGCCCCAGCTTTGGGGATGTTACTGCACTCTGTGAGCGTGTAGGACACTCAGGTGTCCCCCAGACACCACGCTGCAGTAAGTAGCTCCAAGTGGGGTCGGCCCTTCCCACTCCCCCTGCCAGCTGCTGTCCTCTGCTCTCGTGTTCATGGTTCCTTATTTCTCTGTTCCTACAAGGTAGGCTGCTAAGTCGTTAGGGGTATACTTTTGCATTTTGTTTTTTTCATTTAACTATGTATGGTAGAAGTCCTCCCATGTAGGGGTCATGGAGCTCTTCATTCTTTTTTTTTTTTGGTGTTTTTGAGACAGGGTCTCGCTATGCAGTTCAGGCTGGCCTTGAGCTCACTTTGTAGCCCATGCTGGCCTCGAACTCACAATGATCCTCTTGCCTCAGCCTCCCGAGTGCCGGGATTACAGGCGTGCGCCACCATGCCTGGCTCTTCATTCTTTTTGACATTTGTATAGTGCTCTGTTCTGTGTAAATGCTGTTATTTATTCACGCAGCCTCCTGGGAGTGGTCGTGAGTTGGATTCCAGGGTTCTGTGGTTATAAACATATAGTAATGAGTACCCTTGTGCTTGAACGTGGTTGCATTGTTGGTGTCTTCAGATGATCCTGGAAGCCGCATTGCTGAGTAGAAAGAAGTCAGACACGTATGCAGCTTTGTCACAGGTCGCCACTTCCCCATGGGCCATCGCCCCAGCGCGGTGTGGAGTGCATTTGTCCTTGTAGCCTTGCCAACACGGTGTTTCGGAGCTTTGCAAGTTTTGCCATCTGATGGATGACAGCAGCACCAGGGTTGTGGTTTCCTCTCCTGTGGGGCTGGTGTGCCTGCCTCTGTGTGCACTCACCTTCTACAGATTTCTGCCTTATTTCCTTCAGTTGTTAAAGAAATACTTGTCTTTTATCTGTAATATGTGTTGCACATATTTTTCCTAGTTCCCATTTGTTTTTTTTTTTTTTTTTTTTTTTTTTTTTTTTTTATTTTGTTTTGCTATTTGATATCATCTTGTTTTTTGGTCTTCTATTTATTTTTACTTAATGTTCTTGGCTGGCCCCAGCCAGGGTTGCTGTGTCTTTGTAGGCTTTTCTTGGCTATAATAGTTTCTCACACTTTGATTTTGTCTGTGCTGGGGTTTGAACCCAGGGCTTTTGCACTGAGCTACATATCCAGGCCTTTTCATTACTTATTTACTTGAGACACAGTCTTGCTATGTAGTTCAGGCCTGCCTTGAACTATGTATCGCAGGCTGGGCTTGAACTCAGAGATCCTTCTGCGTCAGCATTGTGACTGCTAGGATGACAAGTGTGTGCCACCATGCCTAGCTAGAGAAGACCTTTTTTTTTCAGTCCTTAGAAAGGAGGAGAAGTCATGTTTCCATTTGGTACTTTCGTTATTCATGTAGTTTCATTTCTTACGTAATGGGTCTCTCATCCATTCAGGGTTGGTTGTTGTCGTTGTTTCTCACAGTGCTCAGGACCCCAGGGCCTTGCACATGCTGGGATTGTTCTTGCATGCAGCACAGGAAAGGGCCTTCATTCTGTTCTTACCCGGTGGCCTGTGGTGGCTACGTGGGTAAGCTTGTCTCTCCCTGTGACTCACTGTGACTTAAGGCAGCGCCTCCGTATGATCTCAGTGCCTTTGTGCCTTTGTGGGCTGCAGAGGTTCTGCCAGTCCCGTCACCTCCTGCCTCTCAGAGGACCCTCGCTGCGGCAGTCTTGAACTAGCCACGTAGGCCACCCCCCCAACCCCGTCAGAGCGCCTGGTCCTACTGTAGCTTGGCTTGTTTGTGCTTCTGTTTTAGCTTCTGTGGCTCCAAAAGCCAAGAATTGTTTTTACTTTTGTTGGTTGTTTTGTTTTGTGTTTGTTTGTTGTTGTTGAGACAGGGTCTTGCTACGTAGTTTGGGCTGCTACATAGTTCAGGCTGGTCCTGAACTCAGTAGCCCAGGCTGGCTTTGGACTTAAGGTGATCCTCCTGCCTCAGCCTTCTGAATGCTGGGATCACAGGCATGCACCATCCCACCTGGCATGTTTTGTTTTTGTAATGGTCTGTCAGGCTTTCTGGTCTCTCTCTCCTTTTGGAAAGTCCTCTTGCATTAGGGTTGTAGTATTCTGTTCTGTGTTTGGGTTGCTTCAGGCCACAGTTGTGGATGTGTGGCTTCTCTGGGCCTGGCCCACGTGTCCAGCTGCTACACTTGGACTCTACTGTGTGCCTCATCTCTTCATACTTCCGCTGTCCTACCTGCCCGCCCCCCCCGTCAGTGCCTTTCACTAGATTTTAATTTGAATTCATTCTCCTTTGGGGATCGTACACATCAGTATTCATTTCTGATAAGATGTTATGCTTTATCTTCTATTTCGTCCCTGAATTAAGTCCACTCCTTATTTCTGCTTATTTCTGTCCAGTTTTTTTTTTAGGTTTTTGTTTTTTAGTTATTCATCATGGGATTTTTGTTTTTGTTTTCGTTTTTTTCTGGATGCCTGTTTGATGATACTTGTTTCAGTTAGGGTGCTTATGGTTTTCTTTCTTGGTAAGAACTGTTTCCTTTCCTTGTGTCTGTCTGTGTGCGTCCTGCCAGGCACCTTGTGGACATGGGGCGGTCCGTCCTTGGGGCAGCTAGGTGTAGCTGCCTGCTCCTGCAGGCGGATGGCTGTGTCATTCCTTACTTGTCTGTACAGGTGGTACTGCTGGGAAGAAGCTTGGATGTGCCATTGGTGCTTTTAGAGCTTGTGTCCCTCTGTGGGTCTGTTAGATTGTTCTGCTGGGAGGGAGGGTGAGCATTTGGGAGAGTGCAGGAGAACAGCCGAGAAAGCAGCTTTCTGCACAGTGTGCATCCATGCTCCTGTGCTGTGAGCAAGGCACTCCGCTGCACGTCCTCCTTATAAAATACACTTAGGGGGTGGGGGTTGTAGCTCAGTGGTACTGCACCTGCCTGGCAAGCACAGGGTCCTGAGTTCGATTCCTGGTACCAAAAATAAATAAAGTAAAACAAAGTACAGTACAGTACAGTGCAATACAATATACTTGGGGTATCGGATGTTTGTTAGCCTGTAGCAGTCAGCTGGGGTCTTTCCTTATTTCTCCAAGATGTCACTGCCTGCTTCCTTTGTGTGACACCCTGAATTTCTTGACTTTGTGTTCTGTGTCTGTGTAGGACTGCCCACTCTGTACTGTGTGGCGCTGGGGTGACCTTGCATAGTCACACCTTTGGGCATCCTTTGTCTGACCCTGGGCTGTGTGCAATCCTCTTGGACAGTGGCTGTATCATCTCAGTTCCGGGGAGATTAGCTGGGTGGGTGATGGACAGAAAGAACAGTGCCACCCGCTGGGTCACTGGGGCTTCAGTGAGTGGTGGTGATGGCGGCGGCAGCTGCCCTTCCTGCTGGGCTGCCCTGGTGGCCTTGCTCGGTGGCCACTGCCCTTCTTGCAGGGCTGGTGCCCGTTCCTCAGGTGACCCTGGACCCACTGCCAGTGAAGAGCTGTGACGCAGCGTGCCCCACGAGATGGTTAACTTGCGTGTTTGTTCTATGCGCAGAGACATCAAACCGGACAACGTCCTTTTGGATGTGAACGGTCACATCCGCCTGGCTGACTTCGGCTCGTGTTTGAAGATGAATGATGATGGAACTGTGGGTATTTCTTTTGGAGATTTTCCATTTGGTTTTGACTGGCTTGTAGTTATAAGGTGCTTGAATGTTCAATTTGAGATACAATTGGGAAATCAATTTTACCGTTGGGTATAGTGGCACATGCCCATAATCCCAGCAGTCAGGAGGCTGCGGCTGGAGGGTCTCCATGAGTTCAAGGTCAGCCTGGAGTATACAGTGAGACTTTGTCTCAAAAGAAGAGAAGAGAAAAAGAAGTAGAAATCAACCTTATTAATGTAAATTAAGAAAATGAATCTATTTAGGAGACAACAGAAGATTCTCCTTTAGGGAATTTTTTTAAAGTTTAAAAGCTTCTTTGTTGTTTTTCGAGTTGATGAGGGCCATGTGTGTGCGTTCAGGGAAGTGGTTTCCTTCCTGAGACCCCCACTTCCCCCAGGGCAGCTCCCAGCCCCCTTGATGGGCCCGGCCCAGCATGCTGTGTGACCAGTTCTCATGGCACATGGCAGGCGACTTCCTGCTGCTCGGGGCTTGCATGGCAGTGTTGCAGGTCAAGACCCAGGGCTTCGTGGTTGATGGGGCTCACAGGCCAGCAATGCTCGTACTGCAGGACAGAGCCCCCTGCTTGTCCTCCACCCAGGACCATGGGTGGTTGTCCAGTAGCTCAGCTACCGCCAGCTCTGCTCTCACTGCCCTAGGCACTGTCCTGTGTGTCTGGGAGTGCGCTGTGACGCTTCCCAGGGCTAGCAGCCCAACCTTTCCTCCTGGCATTTGCCAGGCAACTGTACAGCAGGGTCCAGCCAGCAGCATTTTGCAGCCATGACAACTTGTGCTCGCTCTTTCCCCAAAGCTGGTCTCTTGTTTTGAAGTCCTGCCCTCAGCTGATGAGGTGGTGCACTGCTGTTCTCAGCTCCAGCCTCCCAGTGACCAGAGCACTGGTCTCACTCACCCTTTTTACCTGCATGTCCCCCACCACAGTCTCCCCGCCACTCATTCAGGTGAGCAGCTGTCACCACACAGGCCCTAGGCACTCTCCCCAGAAGGGACCCAAGGGGAGACACTGGCCTGTGATGGCTGCCTCAGCTTACTTGGCCCCCTCTTGGTTTCTTGTGATGAGTGCCCCTCAGTGTTTGCAGCTGGGGAGAGGTGTCCCTGCACTGAGGCACAAGGCCCCAGGGAACTCTTCTCTCCCTTTGTGGGGATATGGTTACCTCCCGGTCCCCTGTCCAGGAAATGCCAGAGTGCACCAACTTGCTGTGTTCTACCTGGGACAGCCAGAGTGGGCTGCAGATGGGCAACCTTGTTAGAAACACGTGCCCCTTCCCCAGGGTCTGTGGGAGGGTCAAGGACTGGGCTGGATGCGCTGGGAGCAAGGTGGGACAGAGGTGAGAACTCTGCCTCCTGGGGCTCAGAAGGTTGCCATGAGGCATGGGGGGCATTGGGCCTTGAAAGACTGTGGCAGCAGGGCCTGCGTGATCTTAGCACTCCAAGAGAGTGTTGGTCTGCCCTAATTTTGAGTTCAGCTTTAAGTCCTGGTCATTCACCCCTTTCATTCCATAATTATTTCCTTTCCTTTTGCTGCTGAGCTTCAGAGAAAGTGTTTAGAGGTTTGTGGTTAAAGGCTTTGGGGTTTCCCTTCAGCACTTGCTCTTCCCCAGGTCCAGTCCTCTGTGGCCGTGGGCACGCCTGACTACATCTCGCCTGAAATCCTGCAGGCCATGGAGGATGGCATGGGCAAGTACGGGCCTGAGTGTGACTGGTGGTCCCTGGGCGTCTGCATGTACGAGATGCTCTATGGGGAGACGCCCTTCTACGCCGAGTCGCTTGTGGAGACCTACGGGAAGATCATGAACCATGAAGTAAGGCCTTGTATCTCCCTTGGCATCCTGCCTTTCCCGAGGCCTGGAGGGAGGGAAGGAGGGAGGGAGGGAGGGAGGGAGAGACAGAGGGGAGGGGAGGAGAGGGGAGGGGAGGGGACTTGGCTGCAGCCGCACTGGTTGCGGACTGAAGACCTGGGCATAAGGTAAATTTCCATTTTCTTGGTCAAGACATAAGGCAGTCTGCGTGTGTTCTGTAGAGCAGCCTTCTGGACCTGGGTTTTCCCTGGAGACTGCAGAGCACGTGCTTAAGGTTGTGCCGGTGCCCTTTCCCCACAGCACACCCTCAGGCTCTTTGCCACTGTGAAGAGTGGAAATGCGTCATGCAGTGTGGTAGCAAGTTAGATGTGAGGAAAGCCAGAGAGCCTTCATGATTTTGTAGTTTGCCTCTTGCAGCTGGAGGTCCCCAGCTTTGGTTTGTGTTTAGTTATCATGAAATATAAAGGGCTGTTGTTTCGTGTGTGTCTGTATCTCAGACTGCTCTCACACGTCCACTTCTGTGCTGCTTTGTACCCTCACAGGAACGATTTCAGTTTCCATCTCATGTCACTGATGTCTCTGAAGAAGCCAAAGACCTCATTCAGAGGTTGATCTGTAGCAGAGAGCGTCGGCTAGGGCAGAACGGAATAGAAGACTTCAAAAAACACGCATTTTTTGAAGGTCTGAATTGGGAAAATATACGAAACCTTGAAGCACCTTACATTCCAGATGTGAGCAGTCCCTCTGACACATCCAACTTTGACGTGGATGATGATGTGCTGAGAAACACTGTAAGTGTCATGACCGCACCGTCTCAGCAGAGCCTCCCTGGGTCTGGATGTTGGCAGGGTTAGGCCAGGGACATGCTCAGCACCCGAGTAGGTTGCGGGACTGTGCTGATTTGTGAAAAGTGTGGCAGTTGTCTCATGAAAGTGTACTTTTACTCTACCCTTCAGCTTGGTCCTTACTGCCGCCTTTAAAAGATAAGTTATTCAGCATGACTTTTGGAACTCATCAGGAAGGTTTTTGTTTTTCTTTTTCACCATAGTTCTTTCATTTTCAAAGCAGTGTCACATGCATGCTTGTGTTAAGGCTTCATCACAGCCCTGTGGACACTGTGTCAATATAAAGACTTGAGACAAGCTTGTAACCCCAGCACTCGGGGAGACTGAGGCAGGAGGACTGCCTTGGCAACTGAGCAAGACCCTGTCTCAGGAGGAAAGTGAGAGAAGTGCTGGAGATACGGCTCAGTGGCAGAGTGCTTACCTAGCGTGTGTGAGGCCCAGAGTTTAATCTGAACTGCCAAAAAAAATTGGTTTTGGCCTCATCAGACCCTTACATGTGACTTGGCTTGGAGATGGAGCAACTGAGGTTCTAACCAAGTGAAAAAAAATTTACTCCTTAATTAAGAGAATTTGTGCCGGGCGTGGTGGTGCACACCTGTAATCCCAGCCCTTGGGAGGCAGGAGGATCGTTGTGAGTTCAAGACCAGCCTGGGCTACAAAGTGAGCTCAAGGCCAGCCTGAACTGCATAGCGAGACCTTGTCTCAAAAAGACAAAGAAAAAAAAGAGAATTTGTTATATTAAAATACTCCCACTTGATATACATGCCTTATCCCTCTTGACCTCTTAAAATAAATGAGTTTGATCTTAGGAAACTCCTGGTTGCTTGAGGTTCTCGTCCAGAAACTGAGGCCCTGGGGAGAACCTTTGGAACCCTTGTGCAGCTTTGTGGGAGGTTATCTGCTTAACTTAGCCCTTGTTTAGGTGCTTCCTCTTTGGCATAAGAAGTGACTTCAGACCCCGTGGAGGAAAGACTGTTAGAAGTAGTATCACAGTTGAAAGGCTTGCTCCTGGACCCCAGAGGAGTGGCTCCACACTGAACTGCCCAGATAAATACCTTTGATTTATTTAAGATCCTCCACCTGAAAAATAGTGCTGCCTTGGAGTCCAGAGTTCCTTTCTGCCTGAGGCCTCTTTTGGGCCAAAGACCTGAGAGTCCCATGCCTGTGTCCCCAAAGCACTGCACTTGCCACGACATTGTCTGCACTTGGCTGTGCTGAGTCGTGCTTTCAGGGCTTTGAACAGTTCAGCAGTCTCCAGCCTGATGCAAGCAGGCAGACAGTGCGCTTGTCCTGACTCATTGTGCATACCAGGGGCAGAATTACAGAAACCCACTGATGCCACGTGGAACGACGTTCCTCTAACCTGTCCCCTTCCCTGGCACCTCCTGCTGCACCACACTGGAACATACTCTGTGCTGTGCCGGCTGTGGGCATGAAGGTCTCACGTGTGCTGTTTGTGTTCTTACACAGGAAATATTACCTCCTGGCTCTCACACGGGCTTCTCTGGGTTGCATTTGCCTTTCATCGGTTTCACGTTTACGACAGAAAGGTACGTGTGGCTCTTCTTCGCTGCAGAGCCTTCCCCGGGGATGGGTCTGCATGTGGGCATCTGCATGGCCAAGGGTCCTTGGCAGGCTACAGAAACGTTGCTCAAGGGAGAACAGGGGGGCTTGTCTGATATAATACATGCCTGATGGCTGCAGGTCTGTGTCAGGGTTGGCACTGTTTTTGAAAGGGCAAAATAGTGAATCCAGTCCTGTGCCACGTAATGATGGTCATTCAGACGGCATTCGACTCTGTCACAGGAACCAATCCTGCCAACACTGACCCGTGGGCCAAAGCCCACCACAGCCTGCTCTTGTCATTCAGACAGCATAGCTGTGGCAGTGCTGTAAGATCACAGTGGACGTGAGACTCCTCACGCCTAGCGCTGTCACGGTCCTCCTAGGTCTGTTGCAGGACAACACCTTGCTCGTGTGTGCGATGCCTGTGTAAACACATTTACTGTGCTGCCAGTCGCGTACACCTGTTATCCCAGCACTGTGGGAGACTGCGGAAAGAAGATCCCAAGTTGGGCCCTAGCCATGGCAACTTCACAAGGCTCTGTCTCTAAATGGAGGGTGGGGGTACAGCTCAGTGTGAGGGCCCTGGGTCCAATCCCCAGTAGTGGAAAAAAAGAAAAGAGCACAGCACATACAACTGCTGTAGTCCATTACACTCCATACTGCGGTAAGCAGCCATACACTTACTTGCCTGTGTCCTCTGCTGAGCTGTTGCGTTGTGGAGTACATCTCCTTAGGAAAGATAGCTCACCATAAAGCAGTGTGCCAGGTGTACTGGCTGCAGCCTCGTGTACTTGTGTTCACTGAATCTCTTGACTGTGTCTTTTTTCTTGTGTTTGATTTACTTTTGTGTGAGTAAGCTGTGATATTTGCACAATAGAATCTCATAGCACATTTTTTTAGAACCCCATCCCTATCCTTAAGCAACACAGGGCTGTAATTTGGGTATTGTGGTCTCTGTTGTGTTTCTTTTCCTTTTACAACCATTTGCTTGTTTGTTTGTAATGCTGGGGACTAAACCCAGGGCCTCACAAGCTAGACAAGCACTCGACCACCAAGCTGCATCCCCAGCCCTTTCACTGTTTTATTTTGAAACAAGGTCTTGTTAAATTCCCATGCTGACCTTGAGCTTGCGCTCCATCTGTCTCAGTCCGTGTGCATCATCAAACCCCCTCTAGCCCTTTAAGCTGCGTAAACACCGTTCCAGTGCAGCATGGCTCCAGAGCAGGCTGTGGTGGGCTTTGGCCCATGGGTCAGTGTTGGCAGGATTGGTTCCCGTGACAGAGTCGAGCTGCAGCTGTTCCCACCTGGGCTCAGCTACAAGCCATCTTCCTTCAGAGCACTCTGCTGGCTTTTGTAAGGACTGGAGCCCCAGCTGCAACTTCTGTCAGCGGAGCTGGAACACGTCCCAGGTGTGGGGTGCAAGCCCTCAGGTGCCAAGACTGTGTCCTCATGGGTCTCTTTGTAAATTTATGTGGCTGATTTAGGAAGGAAACTGAGGCCAAGAAGAAAGAAAGGTGAAACAAGACAAATAATCCAGGCTTGTGCCTGAAGGAAGGTGGCAGAGTTGGGCTCGCGGGCACTCCTGGGAGCTGGCAGTTGAAGCAGTGAGGGCTTCAGGAAAGGCTGCCTCCACTGAAGCCAGTGGGAGTCTCTGTAGGCATAGGGGCGGGGCCTCACCACAGGAAGTGTCAGGTGGGTGCGTTGATTAGGTCCCTGGTGCAGAGGCCCTTGACCTTCCCAGTACTCCCCAGCTTCCTGAGTGCTTTTCATGTTTGCAGGCCCTGGTCCCAGGCCTGCCCCACCAGTGCTCAGCTTGGCAGGGTGTACCCCAGGCTCTCCTCCCAGGACGGACACCCCTGCAGAAACATTGGCCAGGCTGTGCTCTGAAATAGATACTATACCCTACTGCATTTAGCAGGCTCAGTGGGGAAGTCAGGAAGGTTTTCCTGACATCATGTCTTGTAATGAGCTAAGCATACCTACATATACAGCAGTCTGAGAATTGAGGCCATGTGGTCAGAGAACATCTTCAGCTTCTGTTTGGGCAGAGCTGGCACTTGGACTTGGGTACACATTCATGCAAGATGGCTGGGCCTGTATGACTTAGCCTACAGGGACTGTTCCGTGTGCAGGGTAAGCAGAGGAGCCCAGCGGGGAGGAGGGGTTTGACAGCTCTCAGGTGGTCCAGCAGTGAGTGCCACAAGTGAAGGGCTTGGGTGACCTGCAGGCTCCAGCCACCTGCTGAGAGCTTGCAGTTAGGTGTCCCATTCTCTCAGTCCACTGGGTGAAATGCTGGTTAGGTTTTCAGTTGGGTGTGAGTGTGGGGTAGCAGGCATGTCTCCTCCTTGTGGAGGCCTGTCTGACAAGCTGTGAGACCGTGTCCATGTCAGGGCCCAGGCCCAGCCTGTGCTCTGTGAGCTCTTGTCTCGTTTTGGCTCCATACACGCTAAAGTCTTTTCACAGGTACAGTATTCTGTCCCTTTAGAGACTGTATCCCCAGGAAGTCTGTAAGTGCTAGTGAAGTCACTGTCAGTTCTTGGTGGCTGAGAAAGCATGGCGCTCTTACTTCACAGCTGTTTTTCGGACCGAGGCTCTCTGAAGAGCATGATGCAGTCGAACACACTCACCAAAGACGAAGACGTGCAGCGGGATTTGGAGAACAGCTTGCAGATAGAGGCCTATGAGAGGAGGATCCGCAGGTTGGAGCAAGAGAAGCTGGAGCTGAGCCGCAAGCTGCAGGGTGAGTGCAGGAGAGGCCGGGCGTAGGCTGCAGTGCTGTTGCGCACACGTGGCCACACTCACGCTGCGCCTCTCATAGAGTCCACCCAGACTGTGCAGTCACTCCACGGCTCCGCGCGGACCCTGAGCAACTCAAACCGGGACAAGGAGATCAAGAGGCTGAATGAGGAAATCGAGCGCTTGAAGAGCAAGGTTGCAGGTGAGCATTCTCTGTTCTGGGTGTTCTTGCCCTGAGGGGACCCTTTCTGTCCTTCCCACAGTTGGAAAGCAGGAAAGGCTGAGCTGCAGGACCTCTTCAGAGTTCTGGCCCTCATCAGGGTTGTTCCCACCCTGTGCGATGATGATCATTTCAGTTACTGACCTCAGTCGGTTACTGACCTCTCCACAAGCTCTTGCTTTTCCTCTGTCGCTCTACAGTTCCTCAGCCTCTCGCACCCATGGCTGGGTCTCTTTTCCACATCCAGGGGCCTACTGCTGCCGCTTCCCGGATATGAAAGCTTCCTCAGGACTCAGGTCCCTTCCAAACCACGACCCTCCCCGACCTGGGCTGGCCCTGCATTCACTCGCAGCTCCAGGTCGCTCTGACTCTGTCCTCTTTCCATTTCCCACCTGATCCCACTGTCCTGATCCCAGAAGGACACAGATGAGTCAGTGTCTCACTGAAACCTTCATTGCCACTGAGAAAGGGCCAGGTGCTGTGCTGAGTTACTCATTGCACAGGGACTGTGACACAGACCCGTGCTCCCACGGGCTCACAGTCCATGGGAGAGTGGTCAGAACAAAGTCTGGGACCTGTTCATTACAGGTAGTTTGTGGCACATGGATGTGAAAAAGCAAAAGGCCTGAGTTCAAGGAGTGTGACCCAAGTTAGCAGATAATCCTTCCCACGGGGCCAGCTAACAGCACAGCCCCGCACCCCAAGGAGCACAAGTGCAGTTTAATTCTCTTCTGCCCAGACTTGAATAGGCTTGAGCGACAGCTGGAGGGCACCGTGACGTTGCGCCAGGAGCATGAGGACTCCGTGCACCGGCTGAAGGGCCTGGAGAAGCAGTACCGCCTGGCTCGGCAGGAGAAGGAAGACTTCCACAAGGTGGGGGGGCGGGGCAGGGCTGAGCTTTGAGGACCTTCAGCCCTGAGGCCCTGGTGTGCAGGCTGTGCCCACAGCCCCCAGGTGGCAGCAAAGCCGGAGCTCCTCCCTGGAGGCCTGATGTGCCCACTCTGTAGCTATTGTCTTCTGTCTCTACCCACCTCTCGAAGTAGGCAGCACCTCCCCGTCCAGAGCATGTGACATTGCCCGCAGTGACCAAGGGAGTGGGAATCAGCCAGTCTGCCCCGCCCCGCCCCGTCACAGCTCTGCCATGGCCCCTGCTGCTCCTCTCAGAAGGGCCTTCTTGGTTAGGACCCGTAGCTCTGAAGAGGTGCTGTTGAAATGGGGGCGTCCCCCCAGACCTTTACCAACTTGACTCTCGAGATGTGTCAGACTTCATGCTCAGTGCCCATGCATTGATAATATAATTTGGACCACATTTTCTAAAACACGTTCCTCTACCCATCTAAGTCTTGAGTAGTTTGTTATCAGTTCTCTCAAACGTACAGGCTATGTAGCCCAAGTTACTAAGGACGTGTGGTGCCATCCCAGCTGTGGACCTGAGCCCAGGTGCAGTGTGGGGAAATGAGGCCTCTCCTTGCTGCCATGCAGTCACACTAATTCCCCTGAACCAAGCCCAGACCAGCCTGGTAGATGACCTGCCCTCCCTGTTGTGGGAGCTGCTGTGCTCCAGGTCAAGTCACCTCTGGCGTCACACTAGTGGCATGATAGCGACCAAGCAGCCAGATTGTCAACTGATTGCAGACACTGACCATCTAGATGGCAGACCAGTTGCTGGGAGATGAGGGCTGTAAGTGTAGCCAGTGGCAAGGCCCAGTCGTGACTGCCAAGAGGGACAGTCAGCGTCTGTCCCTCAATTCTCACAACAGGTTCCTATAGCAACTGTGTTATTGTTCCTCACTTTGATTTAGATCTTAAATGTGCATAGTCATGGGGTACATAATGACAGGCTGTGTAGACGGGGTAGTCTTGTGAGAGTGTCAGAATTACCTTTTGACAGCAGAGCCATCTTGGTTTATGTGAGGACACTCGATGGTTGTACCACAGAATCAGAACATTTTTCAGCACCTATTCAGTCAGTAAGATGCATGGCTGTATGTAGTGAGATTATCGCCCAAGGCCCTGCTTGGGCTAGCTCTGTGATCGCACAGATCAGTTTTGGAGCCATAGGTCATGTGCATGGCTGCTCCGTGCTGTGGTGCTGGTCTTTCCTGTGTGGAGTTGGTGATCTGCAGTGGAGCCCAGCTGGCTTCGTGCAGGCTGTGCGTGCGGTGGAGGGCAGAAGCTTTCCCAAGAAGGCTGATTCTGGCCTCTCTGGCTACAGTCTGTAACAGTATTTGCCATCACTTTTAACTCTGCACACAGCAGAAGATTAAACTGCTGTCGCTCCATGTCTTTTGTAAGTGCATGTAAAACATCTGTAATTCTTTTTGTTCAGCAATTGGTTGAAGTTTCAGAGCGATTGAAATCCCAAACCAAAGAACTCAAAGATGCCCATCAGCAGCGGAAGCGGGCCTTGCAGGAGTTTTCTGAGCTCAACGAGCGCATGGCAGAGCTTCGGTCCCAGAAGCAGAAGGTGTCAAGGCAGCTGCGGGACAAGGAGGAAGAGATGGAGGTAGCCATGCAGAAGATCGACTCCATGCGGCAAGACGTGCGCAAATCCGAGAAGCTCAGGAAAGAGGTGACTGTTTGCGTACTCAGCAGACAGCATTGACTGCACTTGCACGTAATCTGTTTTTCCTCTCTCTTTTTTTGCCGTGCTGGGGTCAGAACCCAGGGCCTTGGCTATGCTAGGCAAGCCGTCTGCCATTAAGTTACATCGCCAGATGTGTCTGTGAAATTGTGAAAAGAAATTCCTAATATTAATTTGTATCACTTTGAACAAGCGGTGCTCATACCGTGATAGGATGTGGCTTCAGTGCGGGTGAGAACGGTCAGCTGCATGTGTCCGCGTCAGTTGTCTATAATCGCAGTTCTCAGACTTCTTGGTCTAAGTGCTTCTTTACACTTTTGAGGGTGATCAAGCATCCCAAAAGGCTTTTAGAGGAGCTGAAGCCCTTTACATGTGCTGTATTAGAAATTAAAACAGGATCTTTTCAGTATGGCAGACCGAATACATGTTAATGCAGATATTTTTAATGAAGGGTAACTTTTTTAAAATTCAATTGTGAAGAGAGGCATTTCATTTTTTACAGTTTTTTACACCTTGTTTTATACCTTTCTTTACCATCTTGTGTCGTAGAAGACACCTGTGTTTTGTCCAGTGTTTGACAGGATGTGTGGGTGCAGTGCACAGAGAAAACAGGGTCTCAGGACCCGCTGGAACATGTATGCCCTGGGCGCTTTGGGTGGTGTTGCCCACAGGTGACCTAAGCAGTGTTGACTCTTAAGTCGCCTTTCCCTAGCTGGAAGCTCAGCTCGAAGATGCTGTCGCTGAGGCCTCGAAGGAGCGCAAGCTGCGAGAGCACAGTGAGAGCTTCTGCAAGCAGATGGAGAGTGAACTCGAGGCCCTGAAGGTAGTGTCCAGCTCCTGTCTTCCAAGATGTGTTGGGGGGCAGGACAGAGGGCAGCTCAGCCTGACCGAGGACTTGGGGGCAAGGCTTTACTGGTGTGTCCCAGTCAACTCCTCTCTGTCCCTCCCTCAGTAGAACTCCAGGCATCACAAAGTAAGTGCAGGGGAGCTTACCTCAGATCCTTCTTTTCTATCCTGGTTTCCTCATCTTGGCCAAGACCATTTCTGGAAAAGTTCCCTGAAGCCCATGGCCTGCTGCTGACGGTGGCAGGCACGAGCTGGTCATCCATCTGGGATCAGCTGGCCGGGGCCAAAGGGCAGCAGGAGGCTGGGGAGGGAGGGAGTGAGAAGGTCCAGACCTGCTTGTAGGCATGGTGTGGCTCTAGGGAGCACGTTCTCTCTTCTGAGCCTGAGCTTCCTGACCTGCAGCACGCCCACGATGGCTTCTCTGTGTCCAGCACAGAGGCCCGAAGCATGTCTTTCTCTCTGTTGTCTGTGCTGCCACCTGCTCCAGCTCCACTGCCTTTGTTAGCTTTCTGAGCATGTTCTGCACACAGTGGCCACAGCGAGCTTGTTGGCCAGTTGGAGCGTGTCCCTGTGAGCCAGTGCCCTTGGCAGCTTCCTGCCCTTGTCCAGCTGCCTTGGGCAGACCCAACTCACTAACTGTCTTCCCACCTTCTTGCCTGTTCTTCCTTCCCTGTCCCGGTGTGAGATTTTCCTCACCTGACGCTGGCTTCCTGGGCCACTGTCTCACAGACACCTTCCTAATCTTCCTGTGCCCCTTTCCCCCATCCTTCCACCTAGCCTGAGCATCTTGGCGTTCGGTCACTGCTTTGCTGTCAGTTCCTGCCCATATGAGCCAAGCCCTTGCTGTCACCCTGTCACCAGGGTGTGGCACACAGTCAGCCTGCAAATGATGCTTGGTGGCGAGTGAACAAGCACTGAAGGTCAGGCCAGTAGGGGGAGAGTCCAGGGGGCCCAGGGAGAGCTGGGCATGTGTGCCCCTGAGCGTGCCTGTTGGGTGTTGAAGGTCCCATTGCTCAGGTCACCTGCACCACTCGGCACACCACTGCCACTGTGGGCAGAAGCAGCAGGGTTTGTGAGCCCCTCCAGGGAGGGCATCGATTTACCATCTTATTTCAACCTCTGCCTGCAGATGAAGCAAGGAGGCCGGGGGCCAGGAGCCACTTTGGAGCACCAGCAGGAGATCTCCAAAATCAAATCAGAGCTGGAGAAGAAAGTCCTGTTCTATGAGGAGGAGTTGGTCCGACGTGAGGCCTCCCATGTCTTAGAAGTGAAAAATGTCAAAAAGGAGGTGCACGACTCGGAAAGCCACCAGCTGGCCCTGCAGAAAGAAGTCTTAATGTTGAAGGATAAACTGGAGAAATCAAAACGAGAGCGGTGAGTTCCCACGAGCTTCACGTGGCAGCAAGCAGAGGCTTGTTCCCAGGCGCAGGGAGGCAGGATCCACACGGGACCTGCAACCGCTCTCTGTCCCCTCCCGGCAGGCACAGCGAGATGGAGGAGGCCATCGGTACAATAAAAGATAAATACGAGCGGGAGAGAGCCCTGCTGTTCGACGAAAACAAGAAACTGACTGCAGAAAATGAAAAGGTAATGGGGAGTATCTGAGTTAGCTCTTTATGTGCAAGCTAAAATTCTTCATTCTTAAGCCTTTGGGAAGTTTAGTGTGTATTTCAAATGTTTTAAATTTTAAATGAAGTGATGTGTTTGATATTTTGAGTGGATTGTTTTCACTCAATTAATAGGCATAGTTACTGAAATCACCAGTGCTGTCAGTTTTAGTTAGATTTCAGTTGACACTTCAGTTAGCTACAAGCAGAAAGTCCATACTCTGAACACAGTCTGCAAAAATGACAGTGATGCAAGAAAATAGCAAAATCTCCAGGAGGATTTCCAGCTTGCGTGATGCTACCATGGTTAAAGGGTGCCAATTAGTAAGTGATGTGGGGGCTTGTTTAATTTCATCAGCTTTGTTCCTTTGTGGATAAACTCACTGCCCAGAACAGACAGCTGGAGGATGAACTGCAGGATCTGGCAGCCAAGAAGGAGTCGGTGGCACACTGGGAGGCTCAGATTGCGGAGATCATCCAGTGGTATGCCAGTCCCGCACTGCGCTGCGCCTGTCTGTGCTGCGCCTGCCATGGCCCGCCCCCCAGCCCGGCTCTTGTCTGCCCTCACCCGCACCCTCACCCGCACCCTCACCCTCACCCTCACCCTCACCCAGCTGGCAGTCCCGCCCAGCGATCCTCACCCTGACCTGGGTTGGGAGACCCTGCTGTCCTGGTCATTTTCTCGGCACTGACACTCAGATCAACACCTGCAGCTGAAGAGAGGACAGGTTGATTTGGGTTCAAGTTCAAGTGCACAGTCAGGCTCCAAGTCCGGATGGCACAGGCAGAGCCGCCCTCAGAAGGGTGGACAAGCTGAGAGCGCAGGAAGGAGCGGGAGGGAGAGGGACCGTCCAGACCTGTCCCAGTGAGCGCCTCTTCTGACCAGGCCTTGTCTCCTAACATCATGCCGGCTGTAAGCCCTGTAATCAGTCACCATCCAGAGATCCTGCCTGTGGTGGCGTAAGGCTTCGGGGGGCACGTGGACGTAAGCCCTAACCCTACCGGCTCCTCAGAGGACTTGCTTGAGCAGCGTGCACACCGGGGGAAGCAGGTGGAACTCTTCCCAGAGAGACCCTCGGTCACAGGCCTGAGGAGCTTGGAGGGAGCCTGGGCTGCCTGTGTTCAGCAGGGTGCCACCCCCTGTGGATGCGTGCTGCTCCGGCTGTGCAGGCTGCGTGCCCAAGTGCTCGTCTTGGGTGGCTCCTCACGGGGGTGCTGGTGCCTTCTGAGACAGGGCGTCTCTGTCTCCCCAGGGTCAGTGACGAGAAGGATGCCCGCGGTTACCTCCAAGCGCTTGCCTCCAAGATGACTGAAGAGCTCGAGGCCTTGAGGAGCTCTAGCCTGGGCTCGAGAGCACTGGTGAGCTTTGGCCTGCCGTTGCATTTTCACTACTAAAAGATCTGTTAATGGTTTTCTTGTAAGAACAGTGTGGGGCCAGGCATATAGCTCAGTGGCACAGGTACCTGCCTAGCAAGGGCAAGGTCCTGAGTTTGATTTCCTGTACCAAAAAAAAAAAAAGAATCAAAAACTTTACGTGTGGCTGGACGTTATGGCTCATACCTATAATCCCAGCACTTGGGAGGCTGAGGCAGGAGGATCGTTGTGAGTTTGAGACCAGCCTGAAATGCATAGCGAGACCCTGTCTCAAAAAGACCGGGAAAAAAAAGGAGAGACCAGCCTGGGCTACAAAGTGAGCACAAGGCCAGCCGGAACTACCTAGCAAGACCCTGGCTCAAAAAGACGAAAAAAGAAAAACAAACAAAAAGAGAACGTGATGCCCAGATGTGGTCTTCTCAAGATTCACTGGGACTTTTCTCCTGCTGTTGTCAGCGCCATCCCACAAGCGCCTGGGTGCCGCCGTCCACCCCCTGGCTGCTTCTGATGTACACGTGAAATGCCGTCCTTGTCCGCTCTTTACAGTTACGGGTGGAAGATCATTCCTCCCGTGTTCAAGCGAGCTTAATGCGAAGTCCACCGAGACAGTGTTTCCTGACCTCACTGCCTCTCCAGAGCTGGTGGCCAGTGGTGTGGCTCGGGAAGAGGGCGGAGAGCAGCAGCGAGCTGGTATCCGCTCCTGCAGGTCCCCTCACTTTTCTGTCCTCTCACTTCTACCTGTTCTCACAGGCATGCACAGGTCATGGCGCGGCTGCTAGGACAGTGAAGCAGAACGTGTCTCAAGGTGGAGGAACGGGGGCCCCTGGGACACCTGTGATGCCACAGAAGTTGCGCTGTAGACTCATTTTTAGTCTTACTTTTAAAAATTCTAAGAGTAAAAGTTACAAAATTTCAAAACTGGAGTGAGGTCTGATGGCCCTTGATAGTATCTGAGGATTCCTGTTTAACCTAACAGTAAAGGTTTTAGGTTGGAAACAAGACCAATGGGTCTAAGAAGCACATAGCCTGAGTGTGTATGTGCTGTTCTCCCCATGGCCAGGACCCGCTGTGGAAGGTACGCCGCAGCCAGAAGCTGGACATGTCCGCGCGGCTAGAGCTGCAGTCCGCACTGGAGGCTGAGATCCGAGCCAAGCAGCTGGTGCAGGAGGAGCTGAGGAAGGTCAAGGATGCCAGCCTTACCTTTGAAAGGTGCTGTGACCTACCCCGAGCTGCCCGCCCTTGTCCTGCCCGGAGACAGGCTAGTTTGCTGCTCCACAGGCCACGTGGTATGGGAAGTTGGGCTGAGTAGGAGGGCTCTGAGGGGTGCGGAGCTCCAGCACTTGGGGGTGCACAGGAGGGCCTAGGAGCGCCTTCCTGCAGGAAGCAGTCCTCGGGAAGCAGCCAGGCTATGTGGTGTTGAGGTGGCAGTGGCTCTTGCCTTCTGTGCCTGGCAGTGCTGGTGACAAGACTCATGACCACCCGTGTGATAGGTGCCTCTGGCTGCTAAGTTTGTCACCTCAAAATTTTCCCTTCCAAGCTAAAGGTAATACTTTAGAGACTGAGGATGCCGTGTTGTTGGAAGTTTTTCCCCAGCTAGAAGCAGTGGAAAGAATCACCCCGCTTGCACACACACACACTGAACCTGCTGTTCACACAGACTCAGGACCCAGCAGTGAGCTGTGGGCTCCTGCATGCCGGCCCTGCTGCTGAGGAGAGACGTGGCCACCTCTGCCATGGGCTTGACAGGTCTCAGACGAGACTCTGCGTCCTCACATTTGCAAGATTCTGGTTAAAGCATTGCTGCCACTTGATTTTACATCCTTTGTGCCCAGAACTTCTCTGAGAACTTTGTGCCATTGGGCTCACACATGCCTCACACCCCATGCAGAGCAGGTGCTTGCGTCTCTATATTACAGACACTGAGACCAAGGTACAGGTGCACAGGGGTGAAGTAATCCGCCCAGTGTTGCCCCACTAGCATGTGGCCGAGCCCATCTACCCTGCTCACCCTGGCCACTGTTACCGGTGGCAGCCTGGCTCTCTGCCCCTCTGCCACATTGTGAACTTGCAGGGCCCTGTGCTTGGGCCGTGGCCTGACAGCCATGGGATCTGGGCCATGTGTCCCTGGAGGACAGAGGCATCTGGAGGGTCAGAAATTCACCCTGGGCCTCCTCAGAAGGGCCCTCCGGAGCCCCCACTGCGGCTTCTACACTAGGCTTCTGTCATCCCGCAGTGCTGGCGCCCTGCAAAGGGGCCCACGAGGCGAGGGCCCTGCTCCCCACCTGCCACTCCCTGCCTGGGCTCTTCTCAGCATACTTAAAGCTATTTTTTCACTTTAGTAAACTGAAGGATTCTGAAGCCAAAAACAGAGAGTTATTAGAAGAAATGGAAGTTCTGAAGAAAAAGATGGAAGAAAAGTTTAGAGCAGAGACTGGTAAGTTGATACCATAAAGTTTTGGGGTATTTAAGTATCAGCCTTTTGGGGCCAAGGATTTAGCTCAGCGGCAAAATGCCTGCCTGGCAAGCACAAGGTCGTGATTTCGATTCCTGGTACTGGAAGAAAAAGATCAAAAAAAAAAAGTACCATCCTTATCAGGTAAGAAATAGTACCTTGGTATAGGTTTAGTTTGCATTCTTTTGCTCATTTTTTAAAATCCAGCTTCTTAGTTGTGTTCAGTTTTAGAAGCTTTTTATATATTGCAGGTAGAAGCCTTTTATTTGTGACATTGACTTCTTATGTTGGGTTTTTGTCAAGAAAAGATTTTATTTATTTAGTTGGTTAGCTTTTGCAGTATTGAGATTTAACACAGTACTGTTGTACTAAGCTACATCCTCGATTTTTTTTTTTTTCCTGAGACAGTGCCTCTGTCACGCTCACTGAGAGCCCTTCTTCCTGCTGCCTTCTTGCTAAGTTGCCCAGGCTGAACTCAAACTTAGGCTTCTCCTGCCTCAGCCTCCCAGAGTGCTAGGATTACAGGTGTCCGTCACCACACCTAGCTGCTTTTTAAAATTTTTGCCTGTCAGATTTATCAGTCTTGTCCCTCCTTGAGTCATAACTAGGAAAATAATCTGTAACCTCCAGCCATTGAAAGGATTATACTTTTTCTCTGATTACTTGGAGGGTTACACATTTTTCCTCAAGAAGACAGGGTGTTGCCACATTGCCCAGGCAGGCATCAGACATATGATCCTCCTGTCTCAGCTTCCTGATAGCTGGAATTTAGGCATGCATCACCTCACTGGCCTGGCTTCATTTTTTGACTTCAGATGACTGATCCATTTAGAATTCACTCTGGCACTGTCTGAGCAGTGTCCCAGTTGCCTCTCCCTGAATCGCCCTGGTCATACACAAGGCCACTGTGGCAGCTGGGTGTCTCTGGGCACTCTGCCCTGTCTGTATTCAGTGCCTCTGTCACGCTCACTGAGAGCCCTTCTTCCTGCTGCCTCCTGTCCATCACCTGCTTCCTGGAGTTTCCCAGACAGTCCCAGGTTTACCCAGGTGGACCTGCGGCTCTCTGGCTCACTCTGGGGAAAGGCCCCATGGTGTCTGTACTGAGAGCACAGCACATGATGCAGGCGGAGCTGCCCTGGTGTGGGCGATGTTGAGGATTCTTACTTAACAATAAGATCTATCTTAAATGTCCTGCCTTCACCATTCTTTCATGCAGGACTCAAACTTCCAGATTTTCAGGACTCCATCTTTGACTACTTCAACGCCACATCTCTCACACATGATCTGACGTTTCGAGTGAGTAATTACTTTCTTAAAGTGACAGATGGGTTCATACTGTGACAAGTTAGAGTAGGCTGTGATGTGGTGGGGCTGCAGACACACCAGCTTCAGAAGTGACCTGGGATGTCACACCTGTGAGACACTGAGGGATTGGAATGGCTCCCAGGGCCACCTGGTCGCTTAGACAGGAAGCGTGTGCGGGTCACTTAGACTTAGAAGCGTGTACAGGAAGTACTCAGCACCTTCAGTGTGGAGATCTGCAGTGGCCTCAGGCTGTACAGTAGTGAGCATTGTGGGTAATTTTATAAATAAAAATTTTCACACTGCAACAAATAATAATGAGTCATGTTCCCATTTCCATGACTTCCATGTGGCAAGATAGCCAAGTCTCTGTGACTGGCAAGAAGGGTTTGTGAGAATGGTTTGGTACCACAGCTGTCCCAGACCACACCTGCACCCTGGAGCACCCGGAGTAGGTGCTGCCTGCCTCACGGTGGGGCTGCCACTAGCGCGCAGTGCAGTCTGAGGCCGAGTCCCCTGGGACAGTGGCTCACAGGCATTGCTGCCTGAAATCTTTGAGCAGTTGCTGAGATCGTGGACACGCTCCTCTGTGTGCCGCAGCTTGCACTGCTCGTGATGTTTGGCTCTGGTCCTCTGCCTTGTCCCCTGTTGCCCCAGCAGTGTCCTTGACCTCGAGGTCTCCCCAGGGTAGGAGCCACCAGAAGCCATGGGCTGCAGTGAGCTGTCAGCTTTCCACCGTCCCCCTCTCTGTGACTCTGGCAAATGTCCTGCGCTGGGCTTGCCCACAGCTTCCTGCCCCACACATGTGGGGCAGACACTTGGCCAAGCTTCCTCGTGGGAGATGCCGTACCCCTCCCCTGCTCTGCATTTCATCATCAGGTTGGGTGCTATCTACTGGGTCACTCCTGTTCTAAGCAGGGGGTGGTGACCCGTGGGTGTCTGCCCCTCAGAAGCCTTCTCCAGCCATTCTGGGCACACTTCACTGGACAGAGTACAGGTCCGTGTCAAACTGGCAATCTTGTCTTCTCTCTGAGGCCCTCAGACCTTAAGAGGCACCTGTATTCAGTGGATCTTTGTGCACTGGGTCGTTGATAAGCCTGGTGCTGGGTGAGCTGTGCACTTCTCTGGTCCTTGTGGTGCCAGACCCCATCACAGAGAGGAAGTGATGATGCCAGGTACGGGGCACGTGCCTTTAATCCCAGCACTCTTGAGAGGCTGAGGGAGCAGGATTACGTCTTCAAGGCCAGCCTGGGCATTTTATGATTTGGTGGGACCATGTCTCAAAGTGAAAAAAGGGCTGGGGAGGTATAGCTCATGCAGAGGCCCTGGGTTCAATCCCCAGCACTGATAAAAACAGTTCCCGAGGACCAAAGGCTGACCGTTGGCAGCTTGGAGGTGGCAAGGAGAGCAGTGGCTTCCCTGTGAAACGAGCAGAGTACTTAGCTCAGTGGCAAGGGATTTCCGCCAGTCGAGGCCATCGGTGAGGAAGTCACAGTCGCTGTGGCGGCCATCTCAGCCGCTCTTTCGCTGTGAGCTGGGGGCAGTGGGCTTCCTGCGAAGGCTAAGTCCGGCTCTGGGCCTGCCCTCGAGTGCATACCACTGTGCTAAGCCTGAGCTGCGGGTGGGCGGGCTCGGTGTGTTCCCTCAATAGTGTGCACGGCAGGAATGACCGTGCTGTCCCTCCTGTCTGTCACACCAAGGACTCCCTCTCCTCTTCGCCTGCGTCTTCTCTGCTAGCCTGTTGGGAGGAAGTAAGTGGACTGCGGCTGCCCACAGCAGCACCCTGAATGCTCCTCCTCCCGAGTTTGCATCCATCTGATTAATTAACCAGCTCAGCGAAACTAGTGGGGTTTTACATGGCTGAAATTAAATTACTCAACAGCTTTGTTCCTCCTTTACCAGCTAGGGCTCTAACTCATTTAACATCCCTTATGTGTGGGGGATACGTGCTTACTGTTTAGCTGACAATCAGCTAACTGGTCCTGCCTTTCCCTTGTGAGTCTATGGGGCATGGTTCTGCACGCTGTGTGTGTGTGCTACTTTCCGTTTGAGTGTGACCCGCTGAGTGCCGCTGTGGGAAGGTACCCATCTGATGGGGGCTGCTGAGGCTCTGTGTGGAGCTGAGTCCAGCTGCAGACTGCACCCTGACGTCCCCTGCAGCGGTCCTCTGCAGGAATGCTGCTTCCTGTGCTGACACTTTCAGGGCTGACGCTGCTACGCCCTCCGTGTGACAACACCTCCATATGGTGGCACGGGCTGTGTGAACAGGGACGGCCTTTGATGAGTAGGTCCTGGCTCCAGGAATATGTGTCATAGTACGGTAGCCTTGAGTGGTTTGAGAGTGTGGCCTTCACTTGAGGTAGATGGCTATCAGGGTCACTTTGGAGCTGCTGTGTTCTTAAGAGTGACATTGGCTTCCAGGGAGTACCTGAGCCGGGTCACAGGCTCATGAGATGTTGGAATTGCTATTTGAGATCCTGGAAACGTGGATAAGAAGCACTTGATTTGTTGGTCTGAAGACCGAGATTTAGGTATAGTTACTTCTGACTAAGTCAGAGGGTTGACATTTCTCAGTTCTGTTTGACGTGGCAGAAGAGAGAAAGCAGCAGGTGGTGAGGGCCTCATGCTGGAGGGCAGCTGGTTAGCCTTTTACCTCCACCACAGCCTTGAATGCCAAGGGCAGTGGCCCTGAGGGGAGGCAAGTCAGCTGAGTGTGTGGGAGGCCAAGCTGAGACCTGGGGTTCCTGGGGCACAGGAATGAGAAGCGCTGGACCCTGGGCCCCAGGCCCTGCTGAAATGCGCTTTTCAGATAAAGACTGTTGCCTTTGTCTTCCTTTTCACAGACCAGCTCATCTAGTGACCAAGAAATGCAAGCTCCAAAGCCAGAAGTGTCCCCGTCGGTTTCTGTGGCCGCTAGCGCAGAACAGCAGGAGGTGAGAGCGTGTTGCCCTGTGCTGCTCCCAGGGTCTTTGGGTCCATCCACGCCCATGTAACACAGGTGCTGTTCTAACACCAGGGCCAGCCCACCTGGTCCCTGCCTTGCAGCTTGTGGCAGGAGCCCTTGTGGGCTGTAGGCCCACGTTCTGTTCTCAGTTCCTGTTAGCAGTCAGTGAGACAAGCAAGACCATCACTGATGAATATATCCTAGAGAGACGCCAACCCCATGCAGGGCCAGTAGCTGCCAGCAGTGGCAAGCAAGCAGTGCTCACGTGTCCCCACTTTCTCCCAGGACATGGCTCGGCCCCTGCATAGGCCACCCACCATGCCGCTGCCCACCACGCAGGCCCTCGCCCTGGCCGGGCCCAAGGTAGGCTTTGCTCATGGCCCAGGTGCCGACTCATGTAATAAAGCAGGCATGTTGTCTCGTGCACGCAGCGCGGCCCTCCACGTGCAACTTCCATCGCGCTGAAGCTGCTCGCGGTGCTTCAGCTGCAGCTGTTTGGGGTAGCCCCTTTTCGCCCTCCCCTGGCCATTCTCCAGCCTCCGTGGCAGCCTCACCCACATCCAGTCTCTTCTGCCAGCGCCTTCCCATCTGTCTTGGAGAGCCTGTGGTTTGTGGGTGAGAGTTTGCTAAAGGTGCAGTTGGATGCTTGGCTTTTCTGTGTGTCCAGATGCCTTGTGCCTTGGGGTCCTGCAGGTTGGGCCCCTTTCTTGTATAATGTCACTACAGATTGAAAGTCAGTGTTGTGCCCAAGCTTGGAGCTTCAGGCTCAGCACACGTTCACATGGCCACCTGGGGCAGCTTGCACTCTGGGTATTGATCATAGACCTGGCCTCTGGTTCCAACTGGAGATAGGGAACTCTGTCTTGTTTGGCAGGATTGATTTGGCTTTCAGATTCAGGGACTGAGGCCAAAGGCTCTTTCTTTTGTAAACCTGTCTCCCAGGAAGCAGCTCTGTAAAGGTGTCACATACTCCTGGTGAGCCTGCTGCTCCTGGTCCCCTCCCCTTCCCTGGGTGCGGAGCACATGTGGTCTCGCCCACTTCGGTTTTGCTGAGCAGGAAGGCCTTTTGTGACCATGCCATTTCAAAAGGCTTTTTGAAATGCTGTGCCATGCCCAGGACACCCTGCCTTTTCAGCCAGCCTCAGGTTCCATTCCTAGTGGAACAGGCACAATGCCAGCTTTTCAAGGTGGTGCCATTTATAAATCAGCCATAAGCAGATCTGCTGCCCACTCTGGGTGCCTGACCTTGTTCCTTTTGCTGTTCTCCGAAGCCGAAAGCTCACCAGTTCAGCATCAAGTCCTTCTCCAGCCCCACCCAGTGCAGCCACTGCACCTCCCTGATGGTTGGACTGATCCGGCAGGGCTATGCCTGCGAGGGTAAGTGCCACCACGCCAAAGTCGGGTGCGTGGCCTTGCTGTGCCTCCTCCGGCGCCAACTACGGGGGCCGTCCTTACCCACCCGGGTATGCGCAAACCGAGATGCAGTGGGAGTTTGGGGGGAGACTGGTCATCTGCTGAGAATATTATAGATGCAGCATCTAGAAGGTCAGGACAGCAAAAAAAAACTAAACCCAAGAAAAAGGGCCAGGGATATAGCTTAGTGGCACAGCACCTGTCTGGCAAGCTCAAGGTGCTGAGTTCGATTCCCAGTACCAAAAAAAAAAAAGAAAAAATCGGAAAAGTAGAAGACAATGAGCTGTGAAGTTTTCTACTCTGAGATTGTCTGGAAATGATGGGGATTGTTTTATATTTTTGCTGCTAGTTATTACTTCTTAAAATTTTTATCTTACATTCTTGCCTTTGCTGAGATTCGGTGACATGCTGTTGTGGCCCTCGCAGAGCCCATTTGGTGTGACTGTAATCCCATTATTTTATAGGGGAACGGCTGGCCTACAGCCACTCTGGTGGTGTGCCACCGTCCGGGCCGGGTGCCCCACGTTGCCAGTCCTGGCTGTGGTCAGCGGGTAGAAGGGCTCTGCACAAGCAGCTCTTGTGCTTTCCTTCAGAGCGTTTTCTTTTGCTGCCCCAGTCCCTACACCCTTTGCTTGACTGCTGGGACCCTGGTGTGTCGCTGTGCCCACTGCCCAGTAACTGACATCAGCGTGGCAGTGAATGTCTGTCTGGACAGCAGCAGAGCAGTAGCATCAGGCATCCTGTCCCTCAAGGGCTCCATTGCATGTTGAAAACTGGTCTTAACCACCAGGTCTTTCCTGGTGGAGTGTGGCTTGCAGCACCCGCTCTGCAGGCGGTGCTGTGAGAAACTCTCCCTCTTTTCCAGTGTGCTCGTTTGCCTGCCACGTGTCCTGCAAAGACAGCGCCCCCCAGGTGTGCCCCATCCCCCCTGAGCAGTCCAAACGGCCCCTTGGTGTGGATGTGCAGCGAGGCATAGGAACGGCCTACAAAGGCTACGTCAAGGTAGAGGGCAGAGCCTGCTGTGTCTCTGAGGTGCAGTGACTGTGGTGTGAAGTGGCCGGTCCCAGGCCTACACAGGCCAGCTGCTACTTTGGAACCCTGAGAGTCTCTCTGGGCCTTGTGCTCCTGTCTCACGGACTGGACGCCTGGCCAGCGGGCATGAAGTCATGGCTCCAAAACTAGGGTGTTGCGGACCACTGTGCCTGGCCCTTCTCCCAGTACATGCGTGTGTGTGTGTGCCGTGAGTATGGCGGTCTGCTTGCTGCCCACGTGTAGGTTCCGTCCCCACGGGTGTCCAGGCAGCCTCAGCCACTGACCTGGGGAGCCAGGGTGGTCACACAGCAGAGGGAAGCAGACCCAGAGCAAGGCTGGGGCCCCAGTGTGTTCTGAACACCCTCCCCGGCCCTCACAGCATGGTCACTGTTCCCCTGTAGGTCCCCAAGCCCACGGGGGTGAAGAAAGGGTGGCAGAGGGCCTACGCTGTGGTCTGTGACTGCAAACTCTTTCTGTATGACCTGCCCGAGGGGAAATCCACCCAGCCCGGTGTCATCGCCAGCCAAGTCCTGGACCTCAGGTCTGTTCCGCATAGCACTGTCTTGTTCTGTGAATTGGGTTCCACTCACTTGTCTTTAGCCAAAGTGAGTTTGTTGGCATTTACACCTTTGCCTCTTGAAGTATTGTGCTGTTTCAAAAACAAGTAAAGGATTGCTGTTACTTTAAAGTACAGGCTATAACATTCTTGGCTTTGGATAGTTTTGTATTGAAAATTTTGTGAAATGGGCATTTCACATAAAACGGTTTGCCCAAGAACAAGCAAAAATATCTCAGAAATGGAGCATCCTACAGCAGTGTGTGCCTCTTTTTTTTCAGATAGGGTTCAGTAAGTCATTAAGTTCCCACAGCTGGGCTCCAAACTTATGACCCTCCTGCCTCAGTCTCCCCTAGTGCTGGGGTCACAGACATGTGCCACCATGCCCATCAGTGTGCCTTTTAGGTGCTGCATCAGGCCTTGTCATGCAGAGCTGGGGCCTTGTGTGGCACAAGCTCTGCTGTGTGATGCTGTCCTGTCTCCCTGAGTGCCGCCATCCTGGCATCTGATGCTCACAGCAGGTGGTCCTTGGTGCTCCTCTCTGTTCTCGCCCCACTGTCTGCCAGCTGTAGAGTGGGGGCACTGAGCATCCTTGGGCCCTGCTGTGGCTCAGGCTTGGTTCTCAGGGCAGGTGCCTGAAGAATGAAGGTCAAGAGCGAGCCATAGGAGTGAGGGTCAAGATCTGCTGTGTCCTGGCTGAGGGGCTCTGCTGCCCCTCGCCATGCACACACATGCCCCAGCCTTGGGCTCCAAATGAAGGCAGAACGTGACGTGTGGCCAGGGCAGAGCCTGGCGTCTTTGGCATGCCAGCGATAGCGTGCTGCACTCCATCTCCCCTCTGCCTCAGCCAGTGGCCGGCTGCCTGGTCATACCGAGGCCGGGCTGAGGCAGCAGTGTGGAGGGGTGGCTACGGCACGATGAGAGCCAGTGCCGGGCTTGCCCTGTGCCACCTGGCGCCGCTGGACCTCCTCAGTAGGCCCGTGTGGTTGGTTGGCTTGGTCCGCACGAGCAGCTCCAGTCCAGCAGTACTTGGTGCCAGGTCCTTAGAGCGACCAGTGTGTCTCTCTCAGGGCTCTGAGTGTGTCTGTCTTCCCAGGGACGAAGAGTTCTCAGTGAGCTCAGTGCTGGCCTCCGATGTCATCCACGCCACACGCCGGGACATCCCGTGTATATTCAGGGTAGGAGTTGTTCTCATGTCTTTCCCTGTGTCTCAGCATTTCATTGATCACAAAATCGCATGCAAGTCTTCCACGCATGTCACCGTGCCAGAGCAGGCCCCGGTGCTGACCAGCCTGGCCCTCACGCAGGGAGCTCCTGGCTCTTCTTGGCAGCCCTGTCTGGTCCCTTCCCACTGCCTCCAAAGCTCCTTTTGCCTGGTGGGCAACTCACTGAGCTTGGTGCCACACTGTGAGCAGCCCCACCTGACCCCTCTTCCACCTCTCACTCATCGCTGCCTGAGCGAAACGGCCTGCCGGCATTTCCATGCCTGCACTGGAGCCCCTACTGCGGGATGGGGCTTAGACACGGTGGCCTCAACACGCTTCTGAAAGATGGGAGGTCAGACACACACATGCGCATGCACACTCTCTCTTGGGGGATTTTTACAAACAAGTCAAATTTTGGTTGACTACAAATCCCAGCTCTGTTCCCTAGTGGCCCCTCATATGCAAGAAATTCCCATCACTGCGCTTGTGGTGGTGCTGGTTTAGTAGCCGCCAGGGGCTCCAGGTCCCCTGGGTCTGTGGTGAAGCCACGGCACGTGTGCCGCAGCGGGCTGCTGTCCCTGAGAGAGCTCTGACAGCCCTGCGCTGTCCTCGCGCTCAGTAAGCACTCAGGGAGGGCGGGTGAGAGTTACCTCCCAGGACACAAGAGTCTGCTTAGCAGTTCCAGAACGATGCTTCAAGAAAGCAGTCTGGCAGGGGCAGTCATGCCAGGTCACTCCACGGCCACCGTGTGGCCTCCCGAATGCACCATGGATGCAACGTGTGGGGACACACGGGCTTCCTGTTGTCACCTAGGGGACGGTGGCGTCCCAGCGGGATGGGGTGCCTGATCAGCCTGGCTGACTGACAGCTCTTCTTGTTTCTGTTTTGTTTTCTCCTGTGAAGGTGACAGCCTCTCTCTTAGGTTCACCTTCTAAGAACAGCTCCCTGCTCATTCTGACAGAAAATGAGAACGAAAAGCGAAAGTGGGTTGGGATCTTAGAAGGGCTCCAGTCCATCCTGCACAAGAACCGGCTGCGGAACCAGGTGGTGCACGTGCCGCAGGAGGCCTACGACAGCACGCTGCCGCTCATCAAGGCTGTGCTCACAGCTGCCATCGTGGGTACGGCCCCGCAGCACCCTGCGACCACGCTGTTTTGTCCACAGAGCAGACCACTGGCTCACAGGCTGTTTGTGTTGTCCCCCCAGATGGAGACAGGATTGCCATTGGCCTGGAAGAAGGGCTCTACGTCATCGAGGTCACCCGAGACGGTGAGTAGGCAGGGCTGCGGCGCGGAGAAGGAGCTTATCTGCTGCATGGACCAAGTCATTCTGTCAGGGGACTTCACAAAAGAGCTAAAGGCAGACAGCGGAGGAGAATGATGTGCAGAATGGCAGGTGTCGTGGTGGGGGTGCAGGGGTGAGCTGGGTGAACCAAGGCTTCCCAGAGAAAACAGGTCTTCTGTCCTGCACGGGGCGTGTTGCCCTGTCCCTGCCCCTGCCTGGCACAGCCCAGCCTGGGAACCCAGAATCTAGGACACTTCGACAAGGGCTGGGCCCAGGAGACCCATGTGGCCGGGCTGCTAGTCCCTCAGTTCCAGAACAGGAGCAAGGAGACACTCCAAGCCAGAAGGGTCTTGGGTTGGTTTAGGGCCCCACAAGGCTGGAGGGAGTGTTTGTTCACCCACCTGGGGCTTCGCTGGTTTGGGCATGTGGGTGGGTCCACGGAACCCCTGCAGCAGTGACAGCAGCCAGTGGCCCAGGGCTGGGAGGGTGCAGGCATGGCAGGGGGGACAGAGCTCCAGTGGGGAGCTGGGCTGGTGGCTGCTGTGCCTCACACCTCCCCTTATTCCCCTGCCTGGCCACAGTGATCGTCCGTGCTGCTGACTGTAAGAAGGTATACCAGATTGAGCTAGCCCCCAGGGAGAAAATCGTTGTCCTCCTCTGCGGCCGGAACCACCATGTGCACCTCTATCCATGGTCCACCTTGGACGGAGCAGAAGGCAGCTTTGATATCAAGCTTCCGGAAACCAAAGGCTGCCAGCTACTGGCAACCGCAACGCTAAGGAAGAGTTCTTCCACCTGCCTGTTTGTTGCTGTGAAGCGGCTCATCCTCTGCTATGAGATCCAGAGAACTAAGCCTTTCCACAGGAAGTTCAATGAGCTGGTGGCCCCGGGACACGTGCAGTGGATGGCCGTGTTCAAGGACAGGCTCTGTGTTGGCTACCCCTCTGGGTTCTCTCTGTTGAGCATCCAAGGGGACGGGCAGCCTCTCGACCTGGTAAATCCCGCTGACCCCTCGCTTGCGTTCCTCTCACAGCAGTCTTTCGATGCCCTTTGTGCTGTGGAGCTCAAAAGTGAGGAGTACCTGCTTTGCTTCAGCCACATGGGACTGTACGTGGACCCTCAAGGCCGGAGGTCACGCATGCAGGAGCTCATGTGGCCTGCGGCTCCTGTCGCCTGTAGTATGTATATGTTTTCTGTTGCCATACCCCTGTTGCTGCTTCTCACGTCGACAGTCGGCATGTGTTCTATTTGCTTTGGTTTGTCTCCCAGCCCCTGGCCCAGTAGTTAAAGGGACAGAGGAGGGGGCATGCAGGCCGGAGGTCCACTGCCACAGCCTCCTGATGGCCCCCTGCTGCCCAGGATCCCAGCAATGGCCTCCCTGAGCAGAGACCTCAGTGAATGGAAAAAGGGGCCTGGTCTTTAATCTCTTTAAAAAGCATTCCTCATAATACATAAACTTGTGCAGCAAGCTGGTGTGGGGGTACACACCTGTAATCCTAGCACCCTGGGAGGCTGAGGCAGGAGGACCACAATTTCAGGCCCAGTCCAGGCAATGTGGTTTAGTGGTTTAGTGAGATACTATCAAAAGTGGGAAGTGGGGTTTATGTAGCTTAGTACAAAGGCTCGGGGTTCAGTCCCTAGTACCAGAAAGAAAACTCTGCAAAGCACTATAAACAAGCCAAAGGCTGTTGGTGGCCAGAAAGAGTGCAGCTCTGATGTCTAGGTTGCAGCCCCTCTGAGGGTGGTTGGAGTCATTCTGTATTCAAACCCTTACATCATTTGTTTTATTGGTCAAAGTGGCTTTAAGTGTGAACAGGCCACTAAGCGGAAGCCAGGAGCCTGATTCCTCCAGCAGTCCTGGAGCAGGGTGGGCTGCGCTGCTGGCGTTTGCCCTTGCTGTGGTTGCTGCCGCAGCCTGCTGTCTGTATCCGCCTGGCCTCTGTCTGTTCACTCCTGAACGGCTTTGGCCCTGAGAGCCTCCATTTCACACCCCAAGGAGTTGGTGCCAGTAACCAGCAAGGGTTGGGGCAGCCAGGGGAGCACTTCGTGATGTGGCAGCTGCTGCCTGTGGGAGGTGACTTGTACTTTTCTTTCCTCACCTGTGAGTAGAACTTTCGGGCTGCTCCCTCTCCAGCCACGCCAAGGACAGCATGCCTGGGTGTCGTACCCCTGCCTGGCTGCAGCAGGCCCAGCCGCTGGCCCGGCTGCTGGCCCACCTTTCTGCAGGGCCCCAGCCCCTCCGCAGCCACAGTGCAGGGCTCTATATTTCCTGCCTAGCGAGGTCCTTCCCACCAGAGTTAAGTTTCTTTGGAAAGTTGAGAAGGACTCAGGTCACCTCAGCCACACACAGCCAGTGCCCAGCCAATGTTCCCTCACCTCCACCTCGGCGTCTCTTGCCTCTGTCGGTGCAGTCGGTCTGGGGGCTGTCAGGAACCGGCCAGATGGCTGTTAGCAGAAGTACCGTCGGAGCTGTGTGCTGAGGCAGGACAGACGTCACTGGTCCTGTCCACCAAGGAGACTGGGTCTGACCTTCTGTGACCTATACAGTGGTGTGACTCGAGAGTCATGCTCTTTCCACCGTTTTCTTCAGACATTTCAGCGTATCTATCACACGAGAAAGGAAGCCCCATGTATCCAGCAAGAAGAGGGCTTCCCGGGAAATGCTGGGGTGGTCGCTCGGGAGTCACAAGTCTCGGAGGGCCGGCTTCTGAACGTGGCGCTCAGGATCTGGTGGCTGAGACGTCACTGCTGCCAGGGTCTGGTCACCAGCTCCAGCGTCTCATCTACTTGCCATGCCCCACTTTCTTTCCCATTTCATGCTCAAAGGAAAGGTGGTCACAGGCTGGTTGCCTGTGTGGGGGCACAGAGCGGGCACTTGGTGAAGAGACCCTCAGTGATGGCTGACGAGGGCCCCAGCTCGGCAGGTGTCCTGTGGGCTCAGAGCCCGCTGCCTTGAACTCTGTCCCGCAAGGTGTCCCCCAGGGACCATGCAGGGTGAGGCCGGCCAGGTGACGGTGAGGTGTCCAGGATGGCAAAGGGTAGTGGACATGCACTGCTCCTTGTCCGTCAGGTCACGCAGACAGGTTTTGCTGCTCTCCTAAATGTGTGGGCCCCCTGCATCTTCCCAGGCATCAGAGGCCCATTGTGCAACAGGCTGACAGTCACAGCCTAGCGCACCTTCCTGGAGGGGAGGACAGCACCACTGGAGGTGGCCGCCCTCACTGTCCAGGGGAGACCCTGGGGCCCTTGGAGCCAGTCCCATAGGGCGGCCTGAGCTGCAGGTCTAGGGACCCAGAGCCTGGCTTCCAGGGCGCTCCACCAGAGCTCGCCGTAGCGGCCGACACCCTAAGTGCTGGAACTGCACGCAGCAGGCCTGCATCAGTGTTTCCGCGGTTGTCATTTCTTGTAAGCACAGGGTGAGCACGCAAAGTCTTCAGGGTATCTTCGCTCCCTGTGTACGGTGTTCAGCGTGTCACCCGTGGTAGCCAGGCGTGGTGGTGCGTGCCTGTAATTGGAGAAGCTGGGAGGCTGAGGATGGCAAGTTGGGGGATGCAGCTTGGTGTGAAGACCCTGGGGCCGGCCCCAGTGTTGGGAGAGGTGACCTAGTGGGGAAGCGGTGGGAACTCACTTAGGCTTCGGGCTGTGAGACTTCGATGAAGGGGACCTCTACAGGGGATGTGAGCGGGTTTGGTGGGAGCCATGGAGGGCAGCCCGCTCCTCCCCCGCAACGTCCCCAGCAGAGCGGGAGCTTCGCTCACTGCTGTGCTCCGCCCGCACCAGGTTGCAGCCCCTCCCACATCACAGTGTACAGTGACTACGGCGTGGACGTCTTCGACGTGCGCACCATGGAGTGGGTGCAGACCATTGGCCTGCGGCGGGTAAGGCGCTGGGGGCCTGCTGCGGGCGGGTGGACTCCGTGTCCGCGCAGTGCATGACTGTCCCTCTGGTTCCCACCCCAGATCAGACCGCTGAACTCCGACGGCAGCCTCAACCTCCTGGGCTGCGAGCCCCCACGCCTCATCTACTTCAAAAGCAAGTTCTCGGGTGAGCAAGTTCTCTGTCGAAGGGGCTCGCGGCACCCAGACGGGACGCCGACCGCCCTGCTGACCGCCCTTTGCTGCAGGCGCCGCCCTCACCGTGCCGGACACCTCGGACAGCAGCAGGAAGCAGATGCTACGCACGCGCAGCAAGCGGCGCTTCGTCTTCAAGGTGCCTGAGGAGGAGCGGCTGCAGCAGCGACGGTAAGGTCGCCCGCTGGGAGGGCGCGGGGAGCCCGGGGCTGCTCCTGCTTCAGAGCCTCACCCGCCTCCTCTCACAGAGAGATGCTCCGGGACCCAGAGCTGAGATCTAAAATGATTTCCAACCCCACCAACTTCAACCACGTGGCCCACATGGGCCCGGGCGACGGCATGCAGGTGCTCATGGACCTGCCTCTGGTGCGTGAACAGCAGGGCCCCGGTGCAGCTGCAGGGACTGACCCAGGGTGCGGGCACTCAGCCGGCTTCTGCTGAGCCACCCCTCTTCTCCCAGTGTTGGGGCCCTGGGTGCCCCTCTGCAGATGGGTGGAGGCCCCGTGACCATCTCCCTGTCCCTTAGGAAACCACCTGTCAACGATTTTAACTCCCTAGCATGAAGTGGTAACATGCTTTTTTTTTCCACTTTAAACGGTGTAATTTCTGTAGAATTTGACTGTTGCTGAAATGCCATTGGTAACCCTTAGCTCAAACGGACCAGGGGCCATGTCCAGAGGTCTGGGGCTCATTTTGCTCCATGGGCCTGGCAGCCTGTCCTAGCTGCCCCGCCTACCTGCTGTCCTCTCTTCCCAGAGCACCTCAGCCCCCGCCCAGGAGGAGAGGCCTGGCCCTGCGCCCACAGGCCTGGCCCGGCCGCCCCCCGCCCGGAGCAAGCCCTACATCTCTTGGCCAGCATCAGGTACCAAGGGGCCGCAGGGTAGGGACCTGGGCTCTGCATGTTCACAGGGCTTTCCCTAGATGAACGCCACCCTTGCTCACAGGTGGGGCAGAGCCTGGGGTGACCGTGCCTCTGAGGAGCATGTCTGACCCGGACCAGGAGTTCGATAAGGAGGTGAGGCTTGCCCCACTCGAGGTGCTGTGTGCTTCAGGGAAAGACTTTGCTGCCCCTAGAGCAGCACCCGGGCCCCCAGGAGGCGGTGCAGCTGGTGATAGGCTGGGCTGGTGTCACAAGCCCAAGAGAGGCCTGTACCTTGGAGGCTCTGGTCTCCCTGCCCTGAAGTCAGGGCAGCCCTTGCGGCAGCCTGGGTGGGAGCAGGCCGCTGTGGGGGTGAGGTGAGAGCCCCAAGTCTCGCTGGCAGCCCCTTCTAGCCTTCTAGCCGGGCTTGCTCTCACACATGACCTAAAAGCAGGTGCCATCAGCTGGGCATGATGCCCTGGGAGGCTGAGGCAGGGGGATCCCAAGTCCCAGCCCAGCCTGGGCAGCCTAGTGACTTTGTGAGGCCCTGTCTCAGAATGAAAAGGGAAGTGGGGAGGGGGCAGCCTCTGCCACACCCGGGCTCACTCCCAGGTGCTGCGTTTGGGGGTGTTGTCGGCTGGCCTGTGCTCTCCCTACTCCCCACAGCTGCGGTGCCCCGTGGCCTCCGAGCTGCACTTCGGCTTCAGTTTTCTCTCTGCAGAGTGGGAGCACGGTAGTGGGGGAGCACGACCGCAGGGGATGGGACGCACTCTTGGAGGTGGAGGGGGAGTCAGCTGGGCCCTGAGGAGCAACTTCTCGCACCCACCCACCCCTGCCCCCTCCACTGTCGGTCTGCTTGCTCACTTCTGCGACGCAAAACCCACAGCCACACCCCCAGCGCGAGGGTTAACCCTGCCATGGTTTTGGGGGATTCAGCCCAGTGGCTCAGCTGGCAGCAAGGCAGACACGTCGTGGAGCAGGCACGCAAGGCCGGAAGCTGCCCGGTTCCTTAGCAAGGAGGAGGGATTGGAGCCCCCACTCAGGCTCAGCAGGGCGGGGTGGGCCCCCAAGGCCCTGCCTCCACAGCCACTCAGACACGTTCACTAGCTCCTCCAGTCTGCGCAGACCCCAGAGCCAGTCAAATTGGTGCCCTGCCCTCCTGAGCCACCCGCAGGAAGGAGGGCCATTGCTGCTTCTGTTGCCAGTGCTTTCTCAGATCTGTCTCTAATACTCTGTCTTTAGGGTGCTTTGTTGTACACAAGTTTGTAGTAATGCTTATGCAGTCCAGTTTATCAATTCAGATGAATATCCTTTGGGGTTTTCAAGATCCTCACAAGGTTTTTTCTGATGTTTGTCACTGCGTCTGAGGAATGTGCCCGTGTGTGTGTGTGTGTGTGTGTGTGTGTGTGTTTGCGCACACACTGCTCTCCCCAAGTCCCCACGGGGCCTCACCTGCAGTGCCCCGGAGCCTGGCTCCTGGGAGACCCAGAAGGGTAGCAGTGGGCCACTCCACTGCCTTTTCAACTTCTCGCAGTGGCTGCAATGGGCGTTCCCTGCTGCCTGCTGGTGGAGGTTGCCAGTGTCCACTGCCCTGTGTTTGGGTCACCAAGTGTCCCTCCAGCACGTTCTCTCCTGTGCCTGCAGGCCTGGTGCTCGGGGACGACACCAGCAGTCGTGCAGTGGGGTCTTCTCTCTCACACACTCGGCAGCTGCAGCGACCCATGCCATCGAGACAGGTCTTCCCTGTCCTCGCTCAGTTTTCCCCTCAACTATGATTGTGAAGAATGTTAGGCCTCCAGTCAAGTCGCAAGAATTGTAGCATAAAGAGCTCCTCACTCTTTCCCCTTCTGCCCATTTGACTTACTAGGAGGATCCCTTTCAAAGCAGGAAGCAGCGTCAGGGCCTTCCAAGCACTTCGGAGCCCAACCCTGCCCTGGCCACCTGTTCGCAGCCCCCATTGCCAGGTGGGGCATTCGCCGCCTTTGCAGCCGCCTCCCTCGGTCTGCGGAGGGCTGTGTTCCCCTTCGAAGGCAGTTGGGGCTGTCCAAGGCCTGGATGGCAAAGTGGCACCCCATACCTTTCCCAGCCACGGCACACACTGGCACGTGCGTGTGGCCACACCCTGCTGCACCCTCCTAGGTTCCGTGCGGCAGACCCTGCCTAAGAGCGAGGGCCTTCTCTTGGACCCCACCATATAGCTGCCTCGTCACACCAAAGTCTGCACCCCCCGAGGGTTCTTGGTCCCGGGGCCATGTTCTACATGATATGTATCTGGGGCAGGGCCCATACCATGGAGATTGAAGCTGGGGCATATGGAGCTATGTCCACAACCTGCGGATAAACTCACTGACATGGTCTCACCGAGTCGCCAGGTTGGCCTTAAACTGTGACCTTCCTGCCTGCTGGTATTACAGGTGTGTGTCAGCCAGCTCCATGTCGGGTTTTTAACTGAGTAGTTTCTTTATATTCCAGCTGCATCTTTTACAAATATTTCTTCCCACTCTGTTGGTCACCATTTCACATTCTGGATAATGTCTTTGAATCTGCGAAGTCTCTGACTTGGGTGAAATCTCACGTTTTTTCTTTGCCAGAACCAGGGTTATGGATTTACTTCTGTTTTCATCTGCGTGTCATGGTTTTAGTCGTTGACTGTTGTAAGTTACTCTTCGTATGTGATGTGAGGTAAAGATCCTACTGCATTCACTGCCACTCTTGGGCCTGGAGAAGCCCTTTGTGGCCGTCTTTCCCTGCCGGTGGTTTCGGCACCCTGTTAAAGATCCCCTGGCGGAGGGGCAGGCTTTGTTCTGTTCTGTGAGCCTGCGTGTCGGTCCTTAGGTTAGGCCTACGTGGTGGCTTCGCGGTGTGTTCTGAAGTACTGGGTTTGGGGTGTGTGTGTCCATCGGCTCTCTTCCTGCTTAAATATTGTTTACAGTTCATATGAGCTTTGAGGACTAGCTTTTCCATTTGTGCAGGAAGGCCGCCAGAATTCCAACAGGGGTCGCACTGACTCTGTAGACCACGTGGGGTGATGCCATGTCAGTGACCTCCTGGCCCGAGACCGTGGGATGCCTTCCCGTCTGTTCAGGTCTTCATTTCCTCCAGCATTGCTGTGGTTTCAGAGTGCAGATTTCCTAGCTCCTCCTCACATTCACCCCGGGCCACTGTGCCCTCTGCGCACTGTGCGGATGGGGCTGCTCCTCCACCCTTTCAGCCCGTCTGCTGCCGGCGTGCACAAGCAGAGTGGGTTGACCTGCTGCGCTGAGCTGGGCCGAATTCCTTCAGATTCTGTAGATTCTCTGGGGTTTGTGTCATCTGCAGGCAGGGAGTTGTCTTCCTCTCCACTTGGGGACCGCTGTTGGCCAGAGCTTTCGGGAGCGTTGCACTAAGCAGTGAGAGCAGTGTCCTTCTGTTGCTGATCCCAGGGAGAGCTGTCTCCACCCATGGGTGGTGTCAGGCTGTCTGTCCCGTTCTTCAGGCGTCCCCATCAAGGCGTCCTGTGTGTGGCTTTGGGCCACCTAGTAACAGTCATCCAGCTTTCCTCCCTGCAGAGTCCCCTCCCTGCAGTGATGGTGACCACCACGTCCTTCCTGAGTGCAGGTGGACAGTGTCTGATGAGCTGTGGCCAGCAGCTCGAGGAACAGGTGGTCAGCATGCCTGTAGGACGTCCCATTTCCATAACTTGGGGGACACCAGGCCGGCACTGGTGTCTCATGTGTCCTCTGTCTGCATTGACAGCCTGACTCGGATTCCACCAAACACTCGACCCCCTCGAACAGCTCCAACCCCAGCGGCCCACCAAGCCCCAACTCGCCGCACAGGAGCCAGCTGCCCCTCGACAGCCTGGAGCAGCCTGCCTGCGATGCCTGAGGCTGCCACCCTGCCAGTGCCAAGACTGAGCTGAGCAGTGTTGTCCGGGGAGATGTAGAGTCCGTCTGTAGATGTGAGGTGAATCTATTATAATAAGGACCATCTGGACGCCACATTCTGTGGCACAGACCAGATCGCTTGTCTGCACAGCCGAGAGGCACCGTGTTCCGTTTGCACATGAAGGACCACCGCACACCTCACCCGCACCGCTGGCCTGGCACCGGGCCTTGCCTGTGTAGGGGCATGGCCTCGGTACCTGTCTCTCCCCGATGCTTGAAACTGTTCCCACGCCCCTAGGAGAATAGTAGCAAGTCGTGTATCATCCCAGTGTCGCCAGGCCCTTGCAGACAGGACAGTGCAGGTGAGCTGTGGCCTTGCTTTCACTTTCCTGTTGCACAGGCAGCTGCAGGAGCCCTGGCTGTGGACAGCGGCCGAGACAGTGCTGCCATGTCCTTGTGCGGGGGTCCACTCTGGGTCTCAGCCAGGAGGTGTCACCAGCACCTGCTGCCGCCTGTCACAATATGTGTCAAAGCAGACAGGCCACTCCGCCTGCTGGCCAAGAAGTGGCCAGAGTCCAGGGAGCGTGCAGTAGGCACTAGGCCCCTTCCTGCCTTGCCCTGCCCCGCATGGAGCCCGCGAGGAACGTCCGGTCAGGTCTGCAGAGACCCCCGACACTCTGCACACAGCCGGCCCGTGGCCTGGGGATGCCCTCGTGTGTCTAACCCCAGCTTCCTGTGTCCTGTGTCGAGTGATCGGCTCTGTAGCCCTGTCTTGTAAAGGCTTGTGACTGACTGTGGCAGCAGACGTGGCTTGTCCCCGCCTCGGGACGGGCTCCCTGTCGTCTTACCCAGCGGCGTGCGCAGCCACGCTGTCCAGGACTGCACTTGGCCAAGTCGGCACTGAGGCCGTGACAGGTGTTGCACCCGGCACCCGCCTGCCCACCCTCCCTTCCAGGCCTGTGTCCCGCAGGCCCCAGCTGGGGGCTCTGGTTTTTACTTTTTTAATGTAAGTCTGAGTCTTTGTAATTATTGAATCGTGAGAACATTTTTGAACAATTTACCTGTCAATAAAGCAGAGATGGAAGTTTTAAAGCTCTCCACGGTTTGGGTCTGGTGGTGTTGCCTCAAGTGTGCCAGGGTACCTGGGAGCACCCTACAACGGAAGTCAGAGGGAGCGAAGGTACAGGGTCACAGGTCATGCAAAGGGCTGCCTGTGTGCACGCGGTAGGAGTGGGCACCTGGGAACCCCACGGTCACGTCTCTACCAAGTTCCAGGCCCCTCCAGTGGGTGCTGCTAGGGGAAGGGGCAAGGTCTCAGCCTGAGAACAGGGAGCCTGCAAGGTCCTCGGCAGTGCTGGCTGGGCAGTGGGCAGTGCGGGCCACTCTGCACACGGAGAGGCCGGGGCCTGCCAGGCCAGCAGGTTTGGTTGTCTGCCTCTGGCCGGGATCTCTAGGGGCCTTGGGTATACGAGGGCAGTGACCACGCGAGCCTTCCCAGGAGTGTGGCCGAGAGAAGCTCGGGCAGTGGCAGCCACCCGAGGACAGGCAGGTCCACTGTAGTGTTGCCGTGGCCCGGCTCCCCACAGCGTGCAGAGCTGCTTCCAGGGCACAGTCCGTGCCAGCCACCAGGCCTTGATCAGCATAGCCCTGAGGACCCAGACCCAGGCACATGCACTGGGCTTAAACGACCACAGGGAACAGGGCAGATGTTAGGAGCAGCACCCTGGGGACCTGCTGCCAGGGTTTGCACCCATCGCCCCGTTTCCTCATACATGGGACACGGCTGCCCCAGGGCCCTTCCAGAAGCCCTGGGATGAACACCAGTTACGGTAACAGAACTTGGGCGGGCGTGGGAGAATGTGAGATTAAACGCTGGTTTGTGTAACTGGCCATTAAACCCAGGGAGCGCTGAACTACACACATCCTAGCCTTCTTATTTTGAGCGTCCAGTAAGTTGCCCAAGCTGGCCTAGAACTTTTCTTTGAGACGGTCTTACTAGGTAGTTCAGGCTGGCCTCAAGCTCATGGTGATCCTTCTGACTCAGCTCCCCGAGTGCTGGGATTACAGGCATGTACCACCACACCCGGCTGGCCTAGAATTTATGATTCCCCTGCCTCAGCCTCCTGAATGTCTGGGTTTACAGGTCTGAAGCACCATGCCTGGCTGTCAGCCATTTTCATTTAAGGGCTGGGGATTAAGCCCAGGGACTTCATTCTGAGCTACATCCCTGTCCCTTTATTTTTTGAGACAGGGAACGCTGAGTGGGTAGGTTCCACAAAGGTGTCCAGCAGCAGCTCACTGCTCCAGGTCAAAGGCTGGTCTCAAACTTGTGATCTTCCTGCCTCAGCCTCCCAGAGTGCTAGGGTTATAGGCACGTGCCACTGTGGCGACTCTGGCTGTTGGCCACTTAAAAGTGAACAAACTGGTGTTGACAGGCACACCCACAGGACACAAGTGCCATAGAAAAGCCAGCGCGTGAGACAGCTGTGTGACAGCCAAGCTGTGCCTGTGGGTCTGGGCAGGCAGGCGACAGGCGTGATGGCCTTCTGGCCACAGGGCCGCGGTGCAGTGCAGTTGTGAAGGCCCTGCGCACCCTGTGCCCTCCAGGAGCAGCAGTGCTTTTGGGGAACCATGCTCCCCGTGGGCATGCCAGACCCCTGGCCCCAGCAGAGAGCCCTCCCTGTCGGTCTCGAGCAGGTGGCTGCCCACACGGGCCTGCCCACCCTCTCCTGTGGCAGCTGGTTGGTGCCGGGGCCACGGGGAGCCCCAGTGCCTCCTGGTCTGCCTCACCCCTCTCCCCTCCCCAGGCCTGAGAACCGCACCCCCATCCTGGCCCGCTGTGTGTCCCAGCAGATCGCTGCTGGGTGGCAGGAAGCGCTGTGCTCATGGCAGTGCAGAAAACCCTTTATTGGGGAGCTCGGGATGTGGGGCGCAAAGCTTTGAGGTAGGGGTTCTGCTGTACAGGAGGTGGGGGCCAGGGGATTAGACTTCAGCCTCAGCCGCAAACAGCGGGTTCACGAAGTAGCAGGTGCTGTTGTCCGTGTTCGGGGCCAGGCTGGGCGGCTGCGCTGGGGGCTGCAGAGAGACGGGGTCACGGGGGTAGAGGGCCCAGGGCTGGTCCTGAGGCGCCCCCACGACCTCTCGCACCCTCACCTGCTTCTCCCAGGTCGCTGCTTCGAACATGGGGTTGGAGAAGCCCTCGGGCTCCCCTGTGGGCGGGGACTCGGCCTTCTGGCGTCTCCTCCGCCTGGGGGCGGGAGGCAGGGGAGCCCAGGGCACCAGGTCCACGCGGCCGTCCCCTTCCACACCTGAGCGTGCCGCCCCACCAGGCCCTTCCCGGTCCGCCCCGCGTACCTGGGCCAGCCCGTGTGGCGCTGCAGCATCGCGGCCCCCAGCAGCGCCAGCAGCCCCGCGGCGGCCA